AGCAATTTCTGAGGCCAAGCAGTAATGTTGGCATTACTGCGTTCCGATTTTGAAGAGTATTATAAGTGTGGTGGTAAAATTGCAGGCACATGGGAATTGGCAATTTAGTCTCAAGGTGACGGGCGCAATTGGAGTAATAATAATAATAATTGGAGGAGTGCCTTTCAGATCTTTGTGATTTTGAGCTTTAAGTAGCACTGGAACTACTACGCTATGAAACTGCTAATTTTAATTTTAATTAAAATTTATCCATAATTTAAAGACGACAACATTTTATTCAATTAAAAATTTTGTCGGTGGCTGAAAAATGTTCAGCCCAATGGACACTTTTACATCCCATTGTATTAGGGCTCTCACACATAAACATGATGCGACGTCGCATCGTCATACTCACGGTGTGCTCCACAGTGCCGTATCAATATTCAAAGATGACTTTGTATTCTTCTGATGTTTTGTCCCTTTGTACTGGACGCTCCTTGACTAGGGTTACTAAATAATCAACTTCAATGTCGTCTGTCACCTTTGAATATTGAATAACAAATGAATGCAGCACTGTGAAGTGCACCGCGAGTTTCTACGATACGACGTCGTGCCGTGCGTCGTGGCAAGTTGCGATTTCGTGTCGTGAATTTTTACGTTCCTCGTCGTAGATTTCCACGTTACAACTTCGCATCGTGAAACGGTGCCGCATCATACCACGACGCGACGTCGTATTGCGTTTATGTGTAAGAGCCCTTATTACACACCTTTTTATTACACGCAAAGAAATTTATTATACAGAATCAAACACTTCAAATTGCATAGAATTACATAAATATCGTTGTATAAAACAACCAGATAATAACTTTTTCGCGATTTATAGGGGTCTAATAAATATTTGTTTTACCTCCTAAAGTAAGCGGGCAGTATACATAGTTACATCAAGAACTCAATGAGATAAATTAGGTCATTACTCTTCCCTACACACAATTTTCTACATAAATTGTTATTAGAAAGTTTCTTTTCAACTGAATATTGATAACATTCAGAAAAGTTAAGTGTACATACATGTATATGTTTACTAAATAAACTGCGGCAAATATTCACACGATTAATGTTTTACTTGTAGTATTTAATTCTAGCACCAACCGATAAATGAACGATTAATTGACCATACGTTGTCATCAAAGATGTACGATCAATTATAGTAAGAACCAACGAAATTTCAAATCAAAACATTATGGATGGTAATTAAAAACTACAACGCATAAGAAATTGGGAATTTAATCAATTCTGTCTTCAATTACAGCTTTTTAAAGGTCGTTACAGTACAACATAAGTTGTCAGTGAAAATGTACTGGAATTCTTTTGCTCTCCTGTTCCTGACAATAATCTCGATAAACATCCATGTCAGTGAGTTCTATTTTTCATACGGTTCTCTATCGTAAAATTTTAAAAAGTATAAGTAAAAGTTAGGACATAGATGTCGTTGGTAAAAAATGTTAAGTGCAGAAAACCTAGATAACGTAAATCATAAAAAAATATGTTTACAAAAAGAAATTATACACTAGTATTTGTTGTTATAGTTTTACTTCTGACATACATCTTCAACCAGATCCATAATCAGAACTGAGACGTATACGTACATCTGTAATCCATAGATGCATGAGTTGCGAATCATTACTGTAGTATAAATATGTATTGTAATCACACCAAACATCATTTATTTATTTATTTATTTATCTTAAAGGAAGACCAACAGCTTAAAACTAACTTATATAATAATAGTAACAACTGGGAGCCAATTACAGATTCTAACAAATAGAAACATAATATAAGAATGCACAATTTAACTAACCTATCGCTATAAACATAACTTAATACGTAAACCATAAAACTACAGCCGCAGTTGCAAGCCGCACTACGAATCAAAGAAATGCCCACTCAGTGCTCTCCTCGCCGCATCAGTCGCACTCGAATTGAAAAGATCCGGATCAAAGGAAGAACATAGAATGTTAACATTTTTGCTTGCACGCCACATAAACTCATTCCGCCTAATTAGTATGAGGCGGGGGTAGAACCAAAAGAAAATTATTTCTAAAGGATTTACAGGGAACTATTTAACAGGGGATTATTTCTCAAGGATTTACAGTGATATTTGTGATAATAATTCCGGGCAATCAATTGAACCTGATGCTATTTTCATTAAAAACATTAGGTCACTAATATCACGGGGCATTTCAAGTGGTAAGAGATGATGATTCTTACAGAGATTGAAATAATTGGCAGAATTGTAACAGTCCTTTGTACGATAGCACAGAAACTTTTGTATATTTTCTAGCCCCGAGTGTGATAACGTGAATTCCAAATTTGGCTGACATACACTAAAGTGCTGCGGACAAATATTTTAAAGTTTCACCTGTGCAAAATCTTTGGCACACCGCACCACAAAACCCAGTGACGTAGAGGCCTTAATCGCTATACTATCAATATGCGAGTCGAATAGTAATTCAGAGCCATGTTGAGAGAATAATTAAATGATACAGAGTTGCGTTTGCGACTGAAAGCCACCAAACAACACTTTGATGGATTAAGATCCAGATCATTAACCTGACAGTACGTTTCAAGCCAATCCAAATCAGTCTGCAAGGCCACCGCTTCGTCTCGTGTCTTGACATGGGCAAATATTTTCATGCTTCAAGCATAGGTTAATGTCGCTAATAAAAATAACAAATAAAGTGGACCAAGCAGCGAACTTTGAGGGACAAATGATATCTACCTACTTACACGTGTCCCAGTTTGGTGTTTATTTCACTAACTATATGCTTTTCGACAATAACTTTACTCGATAGTAGTTTTAGCAGCAGTAGAGATGCTTGTGAAAGAGTTTGTTCAGGGAAGTACCGCCACCTTACCTATTTCTGCCGCCAAGCAGAAATGTAAGCGTTACTGCATTCCGGTTTAGAAGGGCAAGGGTGCTGGTGAAACCACATGCAAATGGGACTTGTCAACTTATGTCTCAGGGCAGGGTGACGGGCGCAGGAGCAGTGCCCATAAGACCTTTACGATTTAAAGCTCTGAGTGGCACTGCAACTGTCATGGATAGGCGTGTCGCTTACCACTAGGCGCACGACTTATTCGTCCCGTCTCCTAGTATTATAAAAAAAATACACGCAATAATAAAACACAAACCAGACAGAAAAAAAAAATACAACATTAGCAATCTCCAGCCTACGCTAAGGCGACAGGTTAAACCTCCTACTTTATGTTACTTAACGTAATCTATTATTTATATTCTACCGCTTACGTTACGAAATAAAATGCAGAGCGGGCTTTACTAAGATACCAAGATAATATCATGTATTTGTAATTTGACAGACTCGTCTCCAAGTTGAGTTCGAGTTGAGTCAGACTCGTCGTAGGAGAGAACTTCAAGAGGACGATCCGGCTGGCTGAGTTCGGGGTTTCTCGCGTCGTCGAAAAAATCGAAGAGCTGGGTGTACGGGTAGCGCCTCAAAAAACTGAGGCGCTGTGGTTCCACAAACTCCCGCGAGTGAGGGACCCACCCACCCAGTTACTCGATTCGCGTTGGTGACGTTGACGTCCAGGTAGGACAGTACTTAAAGTACCTGGGCCTCATCCTGGACGGCCGCTGGGGTTCACTGCACCGGTTGCTGCCCAATCTGGGGGGCCTCTCCGAGGGAGTTCGCCGCTTATACGGTGGGGTGGTGCGATCCGTGGCCATATACGGGGCGCCTGTCTGGTGACATCGACTGACAGGCGGCCGGCGCTGCAAAGCCATGCTCAATGGCGTGCAACGCCGCGTAGCCATCAGGATCGCACGAAGATACCGCACCGTATCCTTCGACGCGGCGCCTGTCCTGGCGCGGTTTCCCCCGCTGGACATCCTGGCGGAGATGTACGCGCGTATTTACGCGCGCCACCGCCAGTCGGATGAAGCTGCGCCGCCGGAAGTGCGGTGGCAGGAGCGCCGACAGGCGTTCGAGAAGTGGCGCGAGAGGCTGGAACAGCCGTGTATCTCGCGCCAGCGCGCCGTCGGCGCGGTCCTGCCCAACCTCGAAGGCTGGTTGAGCCAGCGGAAGTGCGTCACCACTTTCCGGCTGACACAGATACTCACCGGGCACGGACGCTTCGGTGAGTACCTGAATCGGATCGTACGCAAGTCGACGACGCAGTGCCACCACTGTGGGAGGGACCAGAATTCCGCCCAGCACAAGCTGGAGGAGTGGGGCACTCCTCCGCATAGGCCTCCGAACGGAACATCATGGTTGCCCGGATCTGGCGAGATGTCTCTCCGCCAGGCGGCTATGCTAGCGATCAAGAGTCCCATGAGGCAGTGGTCTCCTTCTGTGAAGCGGTGATGCTCCCGAAGGAAGTCGCCGAGCGCGATAGGAAGAGGGCCGATCCCTCTCGGCGGCGGCTTACCTTCGAGGCTGCAGAGCGGGGGCTCCGTTCGCCAGTAAGTTCGGCAGCCGCGAGGAGGGAGGACGACGGGACGGTGTGGCCCGTTTCGTCGTGAAGAGGGGAGGGGGAGGACGTAACTTCTCCTAGGTGCTGGGGGGGTCCCGGTGCGCTAAGTGGATCCCGGATCCCTCCCAGTAGAGCACTCGAGAAGGCTATCGTGGGGTTTTAGCCGGCAGAAAAGGCTGCCCCCGCGGCGGAGATGTATCCTAGGAGGATTTGCCCACGAAAAAAAAGACTCGTAAACATTACGACTTCTACAACTGTAGCCTTAGAGGATGGAAAAAAATAAAGGAACTATTATTACTCTGGATTCTCGCTTTTACTCCAATGTTAACATTTCTTACCAATGGAACGTGAGCAGTTGACGTTTCACGTCACACGTCATGTTGTGTTCCAGTAGGGTGTGGAATTATGAAAGAACCAAAAATATATTGCTGTCTCTACTTACTCAGAAGGAATGTTATATAGTTATCTCATTATTTTTCAATGATAGGACTGGAGTGCTCTAAATGCTACTGGAATATCAGTCCTTAAATCATTTACGTTCGTCGATGGTTGCCTGGCCTTGCTTGCCGGCTGTTTTATTCCGAAAACTGAAATATTACTTTATGTAAATGTTTTATATTATGATTATGTATTATTAACTCAAGTGTTTCAACGATATTTGCACAACTGGAACTGAAAACCAGCAATTAACATAACATAAAATTAAATGGCAGTGGACTTGTCAGCAATGATTCGATTGCTGTTTTTTACAGTTTTATACTTATTTTCTCTGTTAAAAAGTGCTACCGGTATAGGTGAAATAATTTATGCCATTAACGCTGGTGGACCTGCTCATACTGACATATACGGTATTCACTATGAAAAAGATCCATTACATGGAAGAATCGGCACCGCCTCGGACTACGGCAAGCAACTGGTTAACATTGGAAGAGTAAATCCTAAAGATGAAATATTGTACCAGACAGAGCGATACCACCACAGTACGTTTGGCTACGACATTCCAGCTAAGAACGACGGTGATTATGTGTTGGTGCTAAAGTTCAGTGAAGTCTATTTCAACGCACCTAACATGAAAGTGTTTGACGTTGTTCTGAATGGAGACCACACTATTGTAGCTGACTTAGATATTTATGATAAAGTAGGGCGTGGAGTGGCTCATGATGAGTACATACCATATACCATAAAAAATGGTAAACTGTATTACAATGAGGAGGAATCTGACATTCGAGGGGGTAAAATAAAAGTAGAATTTATTAAAGGATATAGGGATAACCCAAAAATTAATGCGCTGCTTGTAATGAAAGGGACTGTAGATGAAGTTCCTAAGCTACCTTCACTAGTATGGCCTGATAGTGACACTGAGGAAATAAAAGAAGAAGTTGAAGAAAAGACCTCTAAATCACGAAGAGCAAGTGGGCCCAAGCACCCTGATCCATACTCTATGGATGAAAGTTCTGTCTTAATTCCAGTTTTTATTACTATTGGAGCCTTTGTCCCTCTTTTATTCTGCCTCTGTAAACTTTAATATTTCATGAATGAATTTCTGTGTGAACATATTTTGTTTAGTTGTAATTTATTGTGAATTGTTTTAATTTTCAGTTAAATAACTCATTAAGACTTCCAGTCTATGATTTTCAAAGCTCAATATCATAGTACAAATCTAGATAACAACTGTAAGCAACCAATGGTGCCGATGCTAAGTTTAAATTAGATTTATCTACCAGAAATGCACATAAAGAAATGTAGTTTGGATGCACTTGTGTTAATAAAATTAGTGAAAGTTTAGGGATATTTTTCATTTCATTGCATTGCATTCACATAGTTTTATTATACTTACCTATAGGTTGTATATTAGTTTAATAATGAGGAAACTGTTGTTAGGGAAAACTTTGCTTCAAATGTGTTATATCTGCTTGAAACCTAAAAGCTTTTATACATAGTATAGATTCTATAAACTCCCAGTCTATTAGTACTCAAGGTTCACAATTTTTGAGATGATTGTTTCCAAAAACTGCACAAGTATTAAATAAATGCCTTATGTTCTGTTCGTAAGCTATCAATCCATAATGTTCTGTGTCTTACATTATACATTATAGGCCAGGACACATGAAAGCACATTAAAAATATATTCTTACTATTCTTTAATTAATTGACAGTCTTTCATCATTGCATATTGCATTAGGTATTACAAAAATTATAACAACTACACTATACTTAGTTACAAAATTGTCGAACTTGTTACATTTTAAACTCCTTGGTTTCTCCGATCTTCTCTTCTTAACTTCAGCTTTTGCGATAATTTCACCAGCTTCAACAACCTATTTAAAAAAAAAACACGTCAAGAGTTTAATTGCATTGCATTATGCTCAGATCTTATCTTTATTCTTGGTTGTAATCACGATTTGGATTTATCGCTATCAACCAACATAATGTACTAAATCTGCTAACAGTACTTGCTTTTTTTATGATTAAAACACCAATAAAATTTTATATTGCTAAAAATATATAACAAGTGCTTGTAATAATTTCAAGGGTAGATACAAGTACATACGAAGTATATTGTATTTACTATTCAAGTACCATGAATATGGTATCGCTTTCGCATATAATTATCAGGGTACAACCTGCTACAACGTCCTTAGTTCGTCATATCCTACTAACATAGTATAATAAAAGCAGGTAGGGCCAACTCCCGCCGCCGCTTCGGCGAGTAAAAGACTGCTTCAATTCTATAATGAATGGCGCCTGAGACAACCCGCGATATGCAACATGAGTGCATGTGAAATTATGCGAATGTGTGCGTTTACACATATAAGCCGCCCTGCTACATTTATATGGAGTTACCATACTTGTCTTATTATACTATGCTACTGATTCTACTACTTAATTATGATTAATACTTACGCATTTCCGGCTCCCTGTAATTTTAGCTCGCATTCACCTTTCTTATTCACCACAAAGCCTTTCCTGCAGTGAGTGCCAATCGAAGTAGTATCATTTTTGTTATTCATCGTAGCTGGTGTTTCTGTCGTGACTGTAACTGGTTCTATACTTTTAACGGTTGTTGTAGAATCGTTTACCGACTGGTGCCATGCAACTTCAGTGGTTTCCGGGATCTGTGAGGTGTTACTTTTTATGGGCAAACTCGTCTGCTCTACAATCAATGTGGTTGCTGTACTATTATCAGTCTCAGTAGCTGTACTTGAATTGTTTAACGGTTTCGGTGTTGTACCGTTTTGTGGTTTGATCGTCATTTCGGAATAATCGTACGCGTAATCGTAATCCTGTTATAGAAAACGCAATACAAGTAATTGCAATTCCACAATACAATATAATTCTATTTCTTTATACTCAATGCTCAACTCACACTGGCGCAGAGTCGAAGCGTCGCGATGCGTCATGTTTTCGACTCTGCGCCAGTGTGAGTTGAGCCTAACGGCAGTAATACCGGTGCAGATGAATAAATAAACAATAATCATAATTGAAATAAGCATCCCGAGCATCCCTATTACTGTACATAACGCTTATTATAATAAACGAGATTATTCTTACTATTCCTGCCTACTAAGAGCTGACAAGAATGCCAAGTTTTTTAAGAAAAGGTTAACGATTAATCGTTATTATCAACAACAAATGCAATAATTTTTCTGTTTTATCTTATAGCAGACTATTAAACAGTAAATCTCTATGTTGTAAGTTCTTCAACATTCATATTGGCATGTCGGAATAATGGAGTTTAAGACTGTCGTATTTATTCACGATTAAATAACTTTTTTACAAAAATAAACCTACGTCAAAAGTTTGTGGAATTACCTATATAAATTTGCCAAGTTTTATTGAAATCGCTTAACGGAAAGTGGGTGAAAATCAGTAAACCGGATTCATCCCCTGATTTGTCACCCTTAAAGATGGAATATGTTCTTCAAATTGCTCGGGACCACTAGGTACTGAGATACCCCCTTTCCAACAAAAAATTAATCATCGAAATCGGTTCACAAATGTCTGAGGAACCACGTAACACCCTACATATAAAAAAACAGTCGAAATGAGAACCTACTCATTTGTTTTAAATCGGTTAAAAAGTAATACCCACCTTTGTAAGAAACACGTTTATGTCGAAATTTTTAAAGCAACTAATGATTATGGTGTACATATATTATGAATATCTGAAACCTAATGCGTACATAAATTACACGTATCAAAAGATGTACAAGTAGTTCACAAATAAGAACCAAACCCTAGTGCACTAACCGCGAGCTTAAATCATGTTTACCTACCTCCCTTTCAATTTACAATACGCGGCAAAATTTATCCAAATGGTTGATTTTATTTAGTAAGTATTTACTCAAAATAAGTATTTTTAAATTTAATATTGAAGGTCAGTCTAATGAAGATTTTTAATTCGTAAGTGCACCATGAACGTACTCCATAAGATTGATTTATGTCAAATAATACAGACTACATACATACAGATATTTTGGGCACTCCGAGGGTAAAGATAAAATTACTGATAGGAAATAAAATTATTTTTCCGGATTTAAATCGCGTATGTTTGTTTTTTCAAACAAACCAACGCTTCGAGCCCTTTACAGGTCCCATGGTCACGGTTGACTGTGGTGGTAAAATCCTGATTTAAATCCGGAAAAATAGTTTCATTTCCTATGTGTAACAATCGCGAAAACTTGGGTTTTAGTTCTTAGGAACTCGTTATTAAATTATTGGTTGAGCCAAAGTATCAATATGTAACGATACGCAACTTAGTTACTAACACGTAGAAGTAGCGGAAATACGTTCAAAATGACATATATGGACGAACTGACATTTGGCATAATTAGAAATTGGTGTACTCTAGCACGCAACTGACAACTGCATCATATGACCCAAGTGACTTTTACTAACCTGCCAAAACGTGAACTCACCCCTCTCATCCGTCCCAGAGTCGTCGCTGAAGACACAGGTTTTGTACGTTACGAGTTTTTTCTTTACAAGTGTTTCTATATAATGATAAGTACATGTACAACGTGTAACGTGGGTACAACGGGTGTTGTTGTTGCATTTATTTTATACCACAATAGTTTGTTGTTGTCCTCAAAAAACTTTCAAAAAAAATTTTATGTTAATTTTTGAATTTCCTTTTTTAAAACCGTTACATGGACAAAACAAAATATATACACAACGGACACAATGTCAAAGGTATGCCATGGATATGTCCTTAAGCGCTCATTAATGGAGTTCAACTTAATTAAATTAATTTTTTCATCATAATTATCATTATAATGAAATATATTCTTCAGCCCCAAAAGGATATTTCATTAGTGGACAAGGGAAACGTAAACCAAAGACTCGGCAGATCTCTTTTGTTTTAACTGCTGTTCGTAATTTACGGGAAGTAATATAATTCATGTGAAATTAAATCGAAAAATGAGCCCAAAGCTCCCCCAACAAAGAAGAGACTAAATATCATTACAAAGTTGTTTGAAGACGACAGCGAAAAACAAAATTTTCCTTGCAACCCTCGAGTTAACGAGGAGGACTGTCCTTGCATACATTGCAACAATCTTTTTTCTCGATCTTAGCCCGGAAAAGACCGATTACGATGATGCTTAAATTGTTCGCATTGGGCTCACGCTTCTTGCCCTGATGTTCCCAGAAGAATAAAGCGTTTTATTTGTAAACTTTGTCAATAATTGTATAGTTTTCACGTGTATGTCATTTTGTCCATACGTACTATGTCATTTTGTGCATTGTACATGGATAAAATGGTTTTTGATTGATCTCAGTTAAACTAGGAATAATTTTTTTCCTGTTGTTTATATTCCATAAATGTCTAATACTTCCAGTAAATAATGAACCAAAGATAATTGGTGAAAAATATGACTGTGTGTGTATTACCACTACAGAATTATGACTAAAAAATTAAGTCCTATGTCATTTTGTACGTATTTCCCCTATATTATATATTAAGTAGAGAGAAAATATTTATTAATAAATATATTTAAATGTGAGTGTTACACTACATAATACTTTCAAATATCTCGCATAATTAGCATTTAACTATATGTACTTATAAATGCGTAATTTAGCCATTATTCGACAAGGGCATCAGATATAATGGCATGATCATGAAAATCGTATTATGTTAGTGAAAAATCTTTGACAAAATTACGACAACCTGATGACATACTGAACTTATCATTTAGGTTAATTAAGACATTGCAGGTTTTTTGGAGGAATGTACAAAATCGATGTTTTTACTAAAACTTACCACGTACTCCTCTTTTGTATCTTTCATAAGTGCTATAATCCGCAAATCCTTTAAGTCCACTTGAACATTCAAATCTCCTGTTTGCCTTTGATCGTATGTCGAAGCGGAATTCGCAGACGCCGAAAGTAGCGGGCACAAGAACAAAATAATTTTCGCACACATTTTTATTGTTGTTTATGTTGTAAAGTTGTCTGGAATTGCGATCGAGTCCCACGAACATACCCGACTGATGCCGCTGCCGCCCTGCGCGCTTGACATCAAGTTATTTCCACTTAAAACAGTTATATTTCAAGTAACCGTAGGAAGGTCGATAGCCTCAGCTAGTGCACAGCGTCCTCCGATTACGCAAGGACCGCGGATAATTTGCCTGATCAACCGTTAACTTGAATCATCGATAAACTTGACAAAACTTTGAAGTTTAAAGTTTCGTAAACTTACGGAACATTAATTTATCAAGAAATTGTTGTTTTGTTACGGAAGACGCATTTACTACCTGATGGTAGAACCGGGTTCCACTGTCAGGTAATAAATGGTAAAAAACTCTAATCGAATACGATCTAGCAAGACAATGTTTTTTGGATTTGAATTCAATGTGACGAAACGAACCTTCCCCTAAGAACCCTATAATTAAACAAGGCCTGTTGTTATCACCGCGTATTTTAAAAAGGCCAAATTTACATAACATTAAAATAAAAATTTATTTATTTCTCAATTTGGTTCAGCAATGGTAGATCAGGTTCTCCCATTAAGCAAATGTATGCTTGTGTTAGGAAAGCCTTAAGTAAGTACACGTTTGAAATGTTATTTGAGATTTTATGAAACATTTTAATTTTACCACGCATAGAAATTAAAAAGCGTAAAAACTTCAAATGTTAAGAAAATATGTTTAAACTTTTACCGAAACCACCGTTTAAGTTTAAAATTTGACACTTCTAGCTGTTCACAGCACTGATAGCCATTTATCATATTCCTGATCATCATCAGACCTACCAAAATCTTATGTATTTAAAATATAAGATTTGTAACATGTCATGCTTGCTGTACGCATAAATGCTTCATAAAAGCATCCGAATATACAACCACTAATTATAAGGAAGCAAATTAAATTTTATATGAAATTACGCCATTTCAAAGACTGCCAGCTTAATATCACCTAATCATAAGCTACTTATTTGATACTTATGAGCTGCATCATTAGATGGACTTTTGAAACATTAAAATAATAACTTAGCATGCCAAGAGAAGAAACCTGTTTCGAATTTTCTAGAATAGAGCGTACTTTGGTGGAATGGCTCTTATCCTCAAAACATCTACGAAACATGCAATGAAACTTGATAATGCATATTCAAAACAATGACACAATAGCATTAACATAATAGATTCATATAGAATAATAAGCTATTGAATTATTGATCAAGAGCTTAGTTTTGGCAATTCTTTTAGTTCAGATCAATAGTTATATTTTTTATATTTAACAAAAGCTGCTACAATTACAACTGAAAATAATCAAAGGTAGGTGAGTACTGTCCAAAGTTATATTGGAGTCTGAAATTGTTGTGTGCGGAGTTTCAAACTGAAATATACCATCGGACGCATTTATTACTACTAATAATTATACTTACTATTACTTATAATTTTATCACTCATAAACATACAGTTGATTTTCCCTTAAGATATCGTAAAATAAACAAAAAACAGATTGTAGTTCATTATATTTAGCTTCGTTCGTAGTCGATAATAACATTAATAAATCACCGAAATAAAATGTGTAACAAATATGCACCTTATTAGGTATTTGTACACTCAAGTTTTAAATTCAACCCTATGACGCGTTCGATAAGGACGGTTCAAAGAGCAAAACGTAGTGTTTGATGTGCTCTTGGTCTGTTCGACGCCGAACAACACCGACGACCGACACTAAGTCGAAATTATACAATTTTTTAAATTTAGCGGGCTTGTAACCATAACAGTATTTTTTTTCTTGAATAGCAATACCAGAGACTTATTAGTGTCAATGTGATTCGCTCTGGACCTTTTGGAGGGAAAAGTGTCATTTTTATTTTGACTTTCAATTATTTTGTGAAATCTAGTTTAAAGTGGAATAGGATAGTGCTGTTGTGCCTTAATCGAAGATTAAAACGCGAAATTATACGAATCTCGAACTAAAATACCCGTATCGGCCCGTTCTAAGGAATCCCGAGTCAATCCAAGCACGCCGCCTCAAATTGCCTATCCTCTTTGTGGCGGCCATATTTACAGAAAAACTTATTTTTATGTTTTCGGCTGAAAGACTTTGTTTCCATGGCCAGAAATAAATTATAAAAAGAAAGTGTCAATGTCGGATTCGCTCTGGGCCTTTTGGAGGGAAAAGTGTCGTTTTTATTTTGACTTTCAATTATTTTGTGAAATCTAGTTTAAAGTGGAATAGGATAGTGCTTATTGATTGCTATAAGATTAAAACGCGAAATTATGCGAATCTCGAACTAAAATACCCGTATCGGCCCGTTCTAAGGAACCCCGAGTCAATCCAAACACGCCGCCTCAAATTGCCTATCCTCTTTGTGGTGGCCATATTTACAGAAATATAATTAAACGTTAATGTTTTCGGCTGAAGGACTTTGTTTCCATGGCCAGCAATAAATTTAAAAAAAAAGTGTCAATGTCACAAATGAAGTCAAAATTTGACGTACAACTACTTTACTTACCATTTTGCGAAATTGTTTTCATTTCGTTATTTGTTTACTTTTATGGTGAAATTGCAAACTTATGAAGAATTTACATAATTCGTGTCATAGGGTAGGTGTGGATTATCTGGACTCGTGTACCGTGCTGTGCCGAAAGAAATGATCAAGTTTTGGAAAAGTGCAGGTAGCTAAATACCTTTTTTTTATTCTTATCGTCGTCGTTCCTAAGGCATTACGTATCGCAGTGTATGATACGTAGAAACCACATAATCGCATGACTGTGGCTTTTTTTCAGCTAAAGGTAAAACAGGATGTCCAGTACGGCCTCCCGAACAAGGATGCTCAGATCACAACAATGCAAAAATTTGTACCTTATTGGATACGCAACGGGGAGACGATAACAAAGGTACATGTCATTATTTTGTACCTATTAAATTCTATTAAAATATATCATTTTCTACCACTAGAGAATGTAATAAACAGACTTCTTTTTCCTAGCTAAAACAGTTTACATTTATTTTTGGTAAACAAGAAAACCCCTTTGTTGGAATGAGATAAGGTTGTTGTGTTACACAGCAATAGGCATTACAAAATTAATGATTTATGCTATACTCACAAATATTTCATTTTCAGATTTCAATTGTACATTTGCAAAGAAGTCAAAACTAACTCTGAATTTACATGACATTTTAATAGAAAAGAAAGCTCTCAAACATTTCGTACAATTTATGGAATCAATCGAACAGAATGTACTCATCCATTGTTGGCTGCAATTAGACAACTTTCGGAGCCTAATTTGTGGTGTAAATCATGAAGTTGAGAATCATTCTAAAATAAGCAGAGCCAAAAGTTTCGACCTCCATTGTAAATGCAAACCTCAAGCTTCTCAAAGATTTAGCTGGAGAGAAAGTGATACATTTTCTTCATCCAGTGACTCAAAATTTAATAAAGTTGATAGTTCAGTAGGTTCATGTGGGAACTTATCAGAATATTGTAACTCTGCAAATTATTGTGAGGTCTGTGATAACAACAGCACTGTTAACCCTACTGAGGAAGCAGTGAACTTATTTAAAAAATATGTGGCCCCAGAAGCGCCACACCTGCTGGACTTACCTGACAACTGTAGAAAATTGGTGATATCCAACATATGCCAGCCAGAAGGTCAGATCAAAGAAGACTGTTTTAAGCCAGTGCAAGATGTAGTTTTTAATATAATTGAAAAGAAATACTTCAATGAGTTCTCAAATAGCACATTTTACATGAAAGCACAAATCGACATACTATCATGTGGCTCTCTTAACCTAGAGGACATTCTGTACAATGATGCAATATTGTTCTTCTTTACAGAATACTTAGAACAAGAAAATTGCAGAATCTTATTGGAATTTTTAATAGCTATTACGCACTTTAGAGACAACCTATTGAATGGAAATAGCTCAAGTCCTGAACAAGCACAAGCTGATGCTATTGTGCTTTATGAGAAATATTTTTCACTTCAAGCAACAACTCCTATTGGTTTTCCTACTGATATTAGGTCACAAATTGAAAGTGATATCTGCACAGAAGGAGGACCTCTTCCAACTTGCTTTGACATACCATACAAAATTGTATTTAGAACACTTACCAGGTATGTTAAAACATTTGTAGAATCTGAGATTTATTATAAATATTTGTCAGAAATGATCCATTCTGTGGATCAGTCATCTAACAATAAGTCCCATTCAGATTGTAGCAGCGAATTTAGTATAAGCACTCAAAATACTCTGCTGGCCATGGGAGACCCTGTCTTTCGTAAAAAGAAACGCAATCATTCTGTACCTGACATGACTATAGACTCTAATCAATTATATAATGCTGATGCCTTGTGGCAGAGGAAGAAGAATGATGGTTTAAGTTTGGGACGAGTGAATAGTTTGGGAAGGTTTGAATCAAGATTTGAACCTGACCCAGATAAGAAAGATAAATCAGTACTAAAGAAAATGGTTAGTAAACTAGTGCCTACAACTTCTAGAGTTGAAGAGGAGATGGCATGGCAAATCGCTCACATGATTGTTAAAGATGTAACTGATTTAACAATGGCCCCACCCGACAATGAAAATGATGAAGTATGACTATGTGATTTTATTGTTTAAATATAAATTAAATATATTTTGTAAATGAACCTAATTATAAATTCTGTTTAACTCTAGTTATTAATAAAAACAATTTAATTGTACTTCTATAGTATTTTAATTCAAAATATTCTTTTTAACTCCTATTTGTTAAATTTAATGAACATGTTAAAATTTTGCAAAAATGTATATTCATATAAAAAATAAAACACACTACAAAAGTATTTATCTACAAATACCCTGACAAGATGATCTGTAAAGAGTATCAATCTATACTGATATTGCATCACAATAAAGGTGTATTTACAAACTTTTATCAAATCACAAACATAATACTATCATATATCACACTAAAGGCAGGTGTACGAATGCTCGCGCTTGTGCTGAAGTCTTATAAAATTACAGTGTAGCATAATTATTTATACTAGGCGGAACAATAGGACTAAGTTGCAGTCTTGGTGGCTCTGAACCCAAAAGAGGTGATTGCTCATCATAGAAGTTAAATTCTTTTTGTACTCTTGAGAATGATGGAAGGAATCTTCGACCATCAGAGTTCCATTTGCGATATACTAATGCATTAAATAGAGCTTGCATTGGATTGACCACAGCCTGAAAAATGAAAAGATTTGAATACCATACAATTTATTCAATTATGCAAACCAATAATAATATGAATTATTTTGAAAATACCGACCATTATATACCAAAGGACAATAACAACCTTCACTGGCATGTCAAACCACATGGTCCACAACAAAATGCCATTTATAAGATTAGGTAGCCAACAAATGTAAAAAACTACATTTATAAATAGGAACTTCAGTCTTAAAGTGTCAACCACCCTCCTCTCCTTACTAGTGAACTGTAAGAAATAACAAGTGAACAGTTAACAATTTTGATCATAAATTCTCAAACATAACATATTAAAATCTTAAAAATTATAAATATAATGTACCTGTGCCAATGGCAAAGCTACTGCCATTTCAATATCCTTACTTGACATTAAGTACATAATTGGATTGACAATCATCACTGTAGCTATGGGCATGTATGTTGCAAAATAGTTTGGCAAAACTTTAATTAAGGCACTGGTCACTGAATTCAAATTATGGCACCTACAACATAAAGACACATGAATTAAATTATTGCTCATGAACTATTAATTAGTAATAATATTAAAAAGTAACAGAATATTTCAATACCTCAAATGAACACTACCCCAACTTAATTTATCAACCTGTTCTGTTTCTTTTTTTTTTTTCACTAAATTCAGGGAGCATATTAGTAAATAAATATGTCTGTTTACAAAAATAAAAGAACATGTCCAGAAAATAATATTGGCATAGTGTTCATTGGAGGTATTGATGCCAAGCACAAGTCCGGTTGTGTATGGAGTACTGCTGCCATGTATGGGATGGCTTTGCGTAATACCAACTTGTCACATTGGATTCAATTGACAAGCGTGGCAAGAGGCTTATTAATGTCTCGGATTTAGTAGAAGCGAACCTGCAGAGCCTTGAACACCGTCGTAAAGTTGCGTGCTTATCGATATTCTACAGGATATATCACGGAGAGAGTGCGATGGAATTGCATAATTTGATTCCACCTTCCCCTTTCCATCATTGGTGGACTAGACGTGGGCTGGGGTTCCACCCCTATGTTGTGGATATTCCCAGGATTCGCACGAAGCGTTTCGCTTCCGCATTTGTATGGCGAGCAGCTAGGGAGTGGAATTCGCTGCCTGCAGACTTGTTCCTCAAATGCTATAAGTTCGACCTTTTCAAAGTGCAAGTGAATAGGCATTATTTATACGTGCATGCTGCATCGTCGACCTCATTGTCACTTTCCATCAGGTGTGATGGAGGTCAAATGCGCACTTATTTTTACATAAAAAAAAGCATCAAACATGCAGAGCTGAACTATCTAACAGAGAATAAACACTTTCAAAATAGTTCTTGAGATGGAAACCAAACCCTTGTTTCTTTTATTTCATTAGTGATTACTACAGTCAATTATAAACAAATGTGAAAAACTTACCAGGCACCCAAATATTTTCCATCTTTTCTACACTAGTATCAAAAACCTTGGGATAACTTACGTGGCATTGGGAATGTATAGTATAGATAGGCCCACGCCAGTGGTAGCTGCAGGCACCCCCCAGGCCATGGAGTGATAAAGCACTGGATGCGAGTCTCTTCCTTTTATTTTAAGCCAAGTATCAATTGCATAAAATAATGTCCAAAACCATGTCACTGTGTAGAAATACTGAGTCCATGCCTGTAAAGCAATAGATAAAAATTTTAAAGGTAAAAGAATATAATGCTCAAGTCCACATTTAATTCATAAGATTAAATAATACGGCACTACCAAATTTATGTAAGGGACAAAATTATAATAAAATGTATTTTTATAATACTACAATTTTAATAATAATTCATAATATTCCTATAATACAGCTTTTTCACTGAAATTTCACATAAGTTTAAAGATACTTACTGAGACTATACTACAAAACAAGACACTGACGTCATCATCAGGCATTGGCATTATGTTTTTGAATCTTAGCCATAGTGCTGATCTCACCAGGACACCTGGAATTAATGAATATGTATTTTTATAAGATGGTGAAAAAAGCTCAAATCAAATAAAAATCTTTATTTGGGCAAGTAATTTGAAATTGTAGCACTGATAAACCTGTCACGCAACATACTGACTGTATGAGGTATGTCTGTTTTATAAACTTAATTTTTTTTACATGGTGGATGAAACACAGCTGTGCTATAACACGTCACAGTATCAAAATCGTTAGAGAAACTGTGTGGCTCTAATGAAAGAGCTAAATTAATAACTACCACTAATTTTTGTCATCTAAATACTCAAGATTTCAGTAGTTTTTGTTATTAAAGTATAGTTTTAACTCATAACAAAAAATTTTGAATACCATAAAAGAATTTACAATGTTAGAAAGACAACTATCAAGAAGCCACATTGAGAAATTTGTAAAAGACCATAGTCTTACAATAAATTACATTTTCCAGAAATAGAAACATATTAGGGTTATTTAGTTTGTCAAAAGCTTGTCTAATCTTCTTTTAAACAATTCGTAAGATGAATGTGGGGATCTGCACACTCTTAATGTAACCTACTAACTTAAATATATACATACCTATTAGTATAGCAACAAAAAATTATGTAGACGAAAAGGAAATAATAAAAAAAATGTGTCAGAGTCTTACCAAAAGAAGCTAGTAAATCTGCAACAGCTAGCCACATGATAATATGTTGACCTCTAGTTGCTAGATACATTCTGTGAGTACCAACAAGACGAGGGGAAATCTATAAATAATTGGAAAATATAGACATTACTTGATTAACATACACACAAGTTAAAAGGCATTTATCGAAAACATAACATTTCAGGGAACACAAAGTCTACAGTCTTTTTTTATGATACCAAGTCGCAGGATGAACAAGTTGTGCACCTTGTGGAAAGCGACACACCTCTCCATAACAGTTGCAGTGCCACTCAGAGATTTAAAAGATCTGAGGGGTACTTCCACAGTCAAATCAGTATAAAAGTACCTTTTTCTTTCAGCATTGGCCATTCTAATAATAATTATATATTTATTATGCATGAGACATTTAAACAAAGTTGTTGAATAAATAGCAGATACACAAGTGGATTGGTGTGATACTATAATATATATTTGCACTATGTTACTAACAACGGTGGTAGGCTTTTTTTTTTTTTGGGTATTTGGCTTCTGTCCCACTGAGGACAATTCTGCCAGTGTGCTAATCTTACGAGAAGAATCAAAAGCAGAAAAAATTTGGTGCCCTGTCATAGGGACAGGAGTATTACAAAATTAGAATGAGACGTAAACGAGCAACGACAGTGGCGTGTGTACGAAAATTAAGTTTATTAATTATTTTTTCCATTACCTGATATAACGAACCCAAAATACCGACAGTAGAGGAAACCAAACAAACTATGTTGTAGGAATCCGTATTAAATTCACCCATTATTCGGACTGCCATGTCTTCTTTATTCCCCGTGTGTCGACAACAGAACGTTTGTATAGTGGGATCCGACATTTTTAAGAATTTGGTAGCAGCTTTTTCAGATAAAACACAATTCTATGTAATATTCTGGGAGTGAAACTTAAACCTGTCCGCTTGACGGAAATATCAAGTAACGCACGATACATAAACAAATTGTCATGTCTCGTTAAATTACTATAAACACTAACAGGAATGAAATAAAGTTGTTTTTTTTTTACAACGATTTTGACAGTACTTTAGATTTTTTTATTAAGAGTTTTGGCTTGGATATAAGTCTTTTGCGCCACGTCTTCGTTTAAATATCGGGATCATCAATAATATTTTTCATTGCGGTTCTAATACATTATGTTTTCACTTTCTTTTAAATACTTAGTTCACTTATTTGGGTTTTATGAATTGTCTTAAACGGCGTGAGTCAATATTTATGTTTTCACTTTAACTTAAATCACATTATTTTCTATCACTTTGAACAAAAACTTGTAGAATTTGTAATTATTGGAATTTTTTGGATAAAGTCTTTTGTAAATTGGTGTACATATAAGGAATATAGTTCTTACTTTCTTCATCACTGCTTCTTTCTTCGTTTTTTCTTCATAATATACTTAAAATAAAAATAATCTTCGTAAATTCTTCTAACTTAGGCTATCTCCATCCTTTAAGAGTCGTATTCCAGAACTCTACTCAATGCTCAAGTCAGGACTTAAGTATGATTTCAATCATTGGAAATACGACCCTAATGGCAAGGACTTGAGTATGATTTCTAGGACTTGAAATCATACTCAAGTCCTGACTTGAGCATTGAGTAGGGTTCTGGAATACGACCCTAAGATTTATAACTTCAAAAGCCCACCATTTTTTTAGAGTTGTTTAGAAAATGTTGTCTCTGTATACAAAATGGTCTGTGCTTCTAAAACGGGCTATTCACTCACAAACTGCTCACATACTATCCTGCGTGTGGTCCACGTACAGAGTCTCGCAGAACGCATTGCAGTATTGCAGGATGGCTTACACGCTGTGAGTACATTCATAATCCTGCAGAACTCGGCGGACGGCAAGGGGGACTGCAATGCAGCAGGCTTAGCATGAGCCCGAAGACAAAAGTTATCTCTTCGCACTGTCAAAATCTCGAGATTTTAGAGAGAAAATTGACAGTTCGAAGATTAGATATTTGTCTTCGGGCTTATGCTAAGCCTCAGAATAATGAATACCCCCTTTAATCGGGACGTGATCGAGACAAAATTAGATGTATTCCACGTTGCCAATGCAAAAAAAGTAAAGAAAATTATGCACAATAATATTTTCTAGAATAATACAAAAGTTTAGCTGTTGTAATAATAGTATATTATAATATTTTTCCTTTAAATAGACTAATTTGTTTATTCATATCTCATAGTTCCTTGCTTAAGGAACTATGAGATATGAATATTATATTGCAAAGAGGATAGGCAATTTGAGGCGGCGGCGTGCTTGGATTGACTCGGGATTCCTTAAAACAGGCCGATACGGGTATTCTAGTTTGAGATTCGTATAATTTCACGTTTTCATCTTCGATTAAGGCACAATAGCACTATACTATTCCACTTTAAACTAGATTTCACAAAATAATTGAAAGTCAAAATAAAAACGACACTTTTCCCTCCCAAAGGTCGAGAGCTTTCCATCATGGATGGTTTAAATAATACGTCCATGGTTCCATCGATTGATAGAATCGATTTTAGTGGATTTGCCAGAGATGGGACGTTATCGATATTCAGCGTCGGTGATTATTAAAATATTGAACAAGTAACTTACGTATAGTATCATTTCGAAACGAGTGTGAAAACTTCATCTAAACAATATTGCTAGATGAATAATGTATGATGATGTATCTATATCTTTATAATACTTATATCAAATTCACTAAAAAGGGCTTTGGGCTTGTGTGTCAAATAAAATAACTTATTAGTAGGTATATGGCGTATTCATACAAAGTAATACTATTCCTGCTCGTCTCCAAACCTTAGCTGTTGCGAAATATAATTTGACCAAAGTTATGAATTTTACAAGGAAATAACGCAATTTCAAACTTAGCTATTCTATTATCCTGAAATGATTGCGGTTTGGAGCTGAGCTGCCGTAGTAATTATATTACTTGTGTCAATGCCTTCTAAATGATTTTATAATTTTCATTCGCGCCTTGTAAAAATTCATAGCTTTGAACTGTTATATCTCGGCATGATTACGGTTATGCGACGAGCCTCCATACATATAGTATTATATTATCAATTAATACTACTGTATGTACGTTAAATAAATAGTAATAAATATTTGTATGAATACACCCCACCCAAGTAATAAGTTTCATTAGTTCGTAGATTTTTTTAAAAAAGGGTACAAAATATAAATTGTCATTTAAATAAGAACTAAAATATATTTTATTTCAGTTTTTAACACATAAGATTTTAATTCAACTTTATGCGGTTACGAACGATGACAACAGTTCAGTCGCGTCAGACGTGTTCTTGGTTGTATACGTCATCTTACATTTTTATCTCTAGATTGTGGTATGCGTTTAAAAAAAGAAAACTTTCAGATGTAGAAACCGCAACGTTGGTTTATTTTACTTAATTAATTTAAAAATATAATGTAATTTCAGTAGCCTCGGCTAGACGACTTATTTCGAGGAGCGCTTAACGCGGTGAATTATCGATTCAAAAATAGTTAATTGTGCGGTAGTATTTTTTTCTTGTACTTTAACAGTAGGACTGCAACTGTTGGGTAATTTTCCGAAAACTTTCAAGTTGTGGAAATTTTTCCGGAAAAATTTCTGAAAAATTTGAATAATATAATTCGAAGGCTCATACTATATACCAAGTTTAGATATATCTTTTGAAGTTTTATTTAACGTGTATTATAAAATAAAACTCTATATCTAAAAGCAAGTTAAAGTAAAACGAGTCGTAAAATGATTGGACAACAGTGAAAAAATTAATCATAGATAAAAAAAATTCTATTGGCTCCATCGTTTTCGATCAGTATCTTAAAATTTTGACAGGTGTCAGTATCTAAATGTGGAAAAGATAGCAAAAATATTCGGAAAAACATTTATTTTTCTGAAAAGTACTAATTTTTCAAAATGAAAATTGAAATATGACCCATGAGCCAACACTAGGACTGCCCATAAGTGACCCCTTCAGCGTTGTATGCTTTAAGCTTAATGGTCGTATTCCAGAATCTACTCAATTCTCAAGTCAGGATTTAAGTATGATTTTAAGCACTAGAAATCATACTCAAGTCCTTTCCATTAGGGTCGAATTTCCAGTGCTTGAAATCATACTCAAGTCCTGAATTGAGTATTGAGTAGAGTTCTGGAATACGACCATATGGCTTAACTCACACTGGCGCAGAGTCGAAGCGTCACGACGCGTCATGTTTTTCGCATATAGTATATTCATCTCTATTTTCCCATTATTATAGTACAAATTTGTGTTATGCAAATATGGAAACGGGCGTCGACGCGGGTCGACGCTTGGATGCAGTCGAGCGACTTCGCGCGTCACTGGACCGCAGTGAGGCGTCAGACGCCGACCACGCTGTGATCCGGACGCACTAATGCGAGTGTCGTCGCGCATCGACGCGCATCGCGGAGCGTTGCAATTGAAAAACAGGACGCGATGCGACGCTTCGTATATGCGCCAGTGTGAGTTGAGCCTAAGAGTTAATTCTAGTTATTGTTCCACGTATCGTAGGGTATCGGTATGGGAAATAATAACAATGGAACGCGCCTTTCACAAATCAATTATGCGATAAATAGAAAAATATCATGTTTCATTGGAATATATTTATTTGATTTGTTCATTTGTTTAATAATTATTTAATTTTATAAAGACTTTATAATTATAACTGTCCTATTATCTCCTAGACAAGACCCGTTCCCATCAGAGTCATGCACCAGAGTACGACAAATGGCATTACAAAAATACCTACCCCGATGTCAGCTTAGTTAATAACTTGGTTTAATTCAAATAATAATAATAATAACGCCCACACTCAACATAGCCCTGCAATAGGGAAACCCTGTGTCGCGGGTGCCATGGACAACCACAAATTACACCCAAACTCATGAGACAAATAAATGTCGGCCACACAAATATTTCTCGCGGCCCGGGAATTGAACCTAGCACGTTACACCATACCATAAGTCCAAACAATTAGCTTAATAGCGTTTAGAAAAGAAACATCAACAAATGAGATTACAGATAATAATTAATTTTATATTGCTCCTGCCATGTATAGAAAAACAAACTTATACGAGAATTTTAGATACCCCATAGGAAAAATGTACTGTATATATGACTCTACTCAATATTGTTCAAAGAACTGCATAGTTGCTAAGAATTTTTGCTACTTCATATTAGTAGTACCTTATACTTATTTGAAAAACGCAGCACTGATAAAATTTCATCACGGAACAATCTAATTTAAAGCTAATGTTTTCAAGGTTCATAGGTTTGTTAGGGTCTGCAAAAATCCTAGTCCTACATGGCATCCATCGGAATGAAACTCAAATCGTGAATTCTCGGCGATTTATTATTGCAGATATCGTCAGATGTTAAAAAAAAAATTTAATTTAAAAGGACGATTACCTTACGATACCCAGAGTTAATAACTAATTACCAAATGAAATGTGGTTTACTTGGTGTTAAACTGAAAATTATATTAAAATTAAATATAAAACAGTATTACAGAAGCTAATCGAAAAAATTATATTAAAATTATAAACATTATTTTGTGTACAAAAGCTAACAAAGCTATGCACTGCTTGGAGTAGTCAACAATGCAGAGCTGTTAACAGTTACGGGCAATGGTATAATAGTTAAATTACTATTTACAGCGAAACATGGATTAATCGGATCTCGAACATCACCCTGTTCAGCTGTGCAGTTCAGGGAAATACTGTCTGGCGCAGTGGAGTAACCCAGTGCAGAGGGTTGACCTAAATTGGACGTGTCCGGAGGAGGAGCTACCATACCATTTACCATTTCCGGGGCATTGTCCAATATAGGAGGCTCAGTAACATTATTTTCCGCAGCAGTGTTCAGCAGAGTCGAGCATGGAATAGTAGTCATAAATTCTCTACCAGCTTTTGTGACCACTGTAACTGTACATTTGGTATTATCGTTCGGATTGTCGACAGGGCTACCATCTTTTACGTCAGCTTCCGGAGTAAAGGAAGTAGCAATGGCACATGGTATTGCAAGTACTTCTGTTGCATTATCAGTACTTATAGTCAAAGTACAATTAACCAAATCACCCAATATAGGATCTACAACAGGCTCTGTACTGTTATTAGGTGCTACTGCGACAGGTTGACCCCTGTTGTCATAAATTACCGTGTGATGATGATGACCAGTAGAACGAGCCAAGTTCCATAGAGCCAACCCAGTTAAAATGGTGCCTACGCCAGCGCCTGCTAAACCTACACCTTTCAAAATATTACTTGAGCGACTAACGCCCCCATAACCGCCAGAATTTCCAAAATAACCTGGCATTTGCGGCGTTCGCATTGGGTTATATCCTCCATATCCACCATATCCGCCATGATAAGATGGCGGTGGACCCTGCGGGTGATGGTAATTATTTCCAAAATTATTTGTTGGATAGTTTCCTGCACTATAGGGCGGAGGCGCCTGTTTCGGATATCCAACTCCTGACTGCGAATAAGGCGGCGGTGGTCCTTGTTGATGGTAATTTCCAGCGCTGTATGGGGGTGGAGCTGCCCCCCCTGCACCCCCAGACAAGCTTCCTTGTTGATGTGGATAACTTGCACCGGTACCACTTCCCGATAACCCGTTAGATGCAGGGTAAGAGTGGCCTTGCTGGTTGTTAATATGCTGACCCGATGAGCTCTGTGGTACACTGCTTCTTTGTATATTATCTTGTTGTTTGCGTACTGGGCCACCAGATAGACCAGACTGGCTTGAAGGATATGAATGCGCAGGCGGTTTAGCCTGATTTCCAGATAACCCAGTTTGACTCGACGGATACGAATGGCTTTGTGAATTCGATTTCCTTGATGACGTTTGTGTTCGCTGGGCAGGTCGTTCCTGCCATCCAAACAACGAAGGTTTCGGGGCAGGCTGAGGATTACTTATTGATGACGTTGGTTGAGGATTGCTCGCTTTCCTGCTGTGGCTTGATCCACGACTACGACTTTTTCCAAGCTTCTTTCCTTCGACACAAATGATTGCAAAAAGTAGTAACACAAGTAACAGTTTTATTTTCATTCTGACAGTTTTTTTAAACCCTCGTTCAATTAATTAACACTGCACACCTACTTCGGTTTGCACTGCGACGAAGTCCAACACACGTATTCACGAAGCAATGGTCCGAGTCAGTATGTTTCTGGAACGTCGAGTAGTTGAGAGGTCGATTATTGGACGCCCACCCCACTGGCTAGCTTGCCACTCTGAACCGTAGTGCTGTGACGTAGGGTTATTACAAAGTTATGTCGCTCGTGTAACCAACGACCTACCTAGGCCAGGTTAGCGGTGTCCATGGGTACGTGTGTGTACGTACGTAAACAAACGTACCCATGGTCACCGCTAACTGAAACTCAACACTTCCATGGAATCGATACTTTGATGCCCAAGTACTGAGTATCTCAAACAATAATTACGACATTGTTTCTGTAATCGATACCCTTTTTGATTAATGTTTATAAATAATTGTAGAAATGACCATGCACCTGGGATATGAAAATAAAGTTATATCTGTAATATATGCAATTGTAGCTTTAGTAGGTACGATGAGGAAATAACATACCAATAACATAACATAACAAAATGTACCTGCCTGACAATACGCTATGTTTAGAACATTCTTTTAAGTATCTAACACCTCTACGTTTGTTTGCAGCGACTTAGAACTTAACCTACCCATTCGCTATCTCTCCTTGTTTTCTGTACCTACATTTCACATTTGTCTTATGTAGAGCATTCGTTAACATGAGCGTGTTATGTACCAGTAAATAGGACATACTTATTAGGCAGCTAGGTCCCCTTTGTAACCTCGTTACATTCAAGAATGATCAAGAACTTTACAATGGACATCAATTGATAAATTGATCCTCTTTAGCGCAGGAATGTTATTTACGTCGTGAAAAGTTAGTTTAATTCAAAAGCCTTAAGCTCATTAGGAAAAACGAGCATTTATAAAAGTATTGATTATAATGGAATACTTTTCTATTACAGAGTTGTTGTTTTTTTTTCTTTAGGTGAATTATCTCATCGTCCTAAATTGCTTTCACCGCACTGGAAGTATTGCCCTGTCGACGAAAAATGGGATATTTGGAATAAAAAATGTGTTTCACGCTTGAAACCGCGCTACCTTGTACCATTTAATATTACGTAAGTATAATGCTATCCTAAGGGTCGAGCAGTTGGAGGCCCCAACAATGTGAATTTTAATTAATTTGTGGTTAGAGTACCAACTCAACATTTATGTCGACCCATGTAGGATGAGTTTTGGTCGAAAGGTGTCATGTACCAACGTTTCCGAGATCGACTATCGGACGGTGCGCACACCTCACAGACAAAACGTGTAAATAATAATAATTAGTCATTATTACCTACTGTTATTATTATTATGTATGTTAATCTTTACGATATGTATTTATGGATCGTATAACCTGAATACAAATAATAAAATAAAATAAAAAATAAAACTTAAAAAACTTCGAACATTTCGACAATTTTTTCTTTTAGGTATCTCACAAACGACCGAAGCAATTGCTGTTCAAAGTTACTAGTATTTTTGAGTAAATTTTAACTATGATGAACAAATTGTTGTTATTGTTGAATTTTACAGATATTGGGTAAGTACTTAGTATATAGGACGTAATAATGACGTAGATAATGGTCGCACTCAAACAGTACAAGGACACTTAAGATTTAAATCCAAGTCTATGCCGTTTATGATAAAATCGGTTCAAACTTTGTACACACGCCAGCGCATCAAGCTACACATTGACGTATCTTGTTCCGTTGCACTGGAGGCAATTTTCGAACAAAAATGTGTAGTCCCATGTGCCGTTGTCCTTACATATTAAGTGTCAAGCTTGACGTGCTCTTGACAGTACCTACTTGAACGAATTTGATCGAGGTAATGGTGGATTATATATACATATATATATATATATATATATATATATATATATACATAATGGTGGATTATATATACATATAATCCACCATTACCTCGATCAAATTCGTATTCGTATAGTTTTCACTTCTCATGCTCTTAAAGTTCGAATTTATGCCGAGTGTAGCTGCATAAAATAGGATTTCATGCTCTAGTGCATAAAATAAAAAAACATCACATTAAATATCTCTAATTGTTGTAATTTTACATTCAATTTTAATTAAATAATCGTTTATTTGTAATATTGCTGTTTATTTTCCTCGCAATCTAAGTGAAAAGCAGAGTGTATAACTCGTTCATAAAACCCATTTTACCCTCGACTTAAGTATTCACCTTCGCCTGCGGCTCAGGTGAATATAGCCTTCTCATGTAAAATGACGCGTTTTATGCACTTGTTGTACGTACAATCTACTATTTTCCAAAGCCCATAATCTATTTTCTTACATACTGTTGCCATCATTCGTTTTTTGTTTTTTCAAAGTACGATTTCTTTTTGTTTTTTCAAATACGATTTCTTTTATCCTTTCCAGTTTCCAGTATTAAGTTTACATTATATTTCTCTTTTTATAATATGACAGAATCGTAGGCGTTCTTATCCAACAGGCAAGTACCAGCAGTATTCTTACTAACAAAAACGAAATGGCTCTCACATCACAGCAAACAAAATATTGCTACCAAATTAGCAGATGTAGATAATTGAAGCAAAATGTAATTTTAAACCCAAGAAGTTTCACTAATTAATGACCATTAACAACAATATAAACATAATCCTTTTCCGTGGAAAACTATACACTAAACATCTTCAAACTCTATTTTTACAACTTTTAAAGTATTTATAATAAACTTTTTTACCTTGTATTTTGAACTTACAGCCAGTGACAACCCCTCATCGAAACTTCGAATTAGCCGCCTTAAGTTATGAAGCCGTATGCATCAAATTTTGAAGTCGGTATGACTAACCGGATGCAGTAAATGAATAAATTAGTCACAAACGTATTACGATTCTTTTGTTTCCAAACTTTGTCGTCCCCAATAGAGAGTAGTTATAATCAAATATTAAACATAATATTTAGCTACAACGTGTTCTAAAGTTACCGACACTTCTGAGGAGTTATAACGACACGATCTTTAAATCTTGAAATCTTCAAAGTTATGAAACTATTCTTCGGATCTAAATAGCGTATATTTGTTGTTTCAAACACCCGTAGCCATGGGACCTGTACAGGGCCTGAAACGTTGGTTTGTTTGAAAAAACAAATACACGTGATTTAGATCCGAAAAATAGTCCCTATGTATAACAATCGCAAAAACCTAAGAAATCGCTATCATCAAAGTTAGTCAATTAATTGTATTGTAATTATTTATGTATCTCTACTTGTATTTTAACTTACCTATATGTCTTTTTTGTTATATATTTTACATTTTGGGTGCTCAAAATTATCTCATTATACATATAAATTATGTACCTAGATTTATAACTCATGGTAAGGGTAAGTGCTCTATATCTTATCTTATAATTAGCAAATAAATAGTCATCAATTAATACCTGTCTATGTTTCTGTGCTTATAAACAATGTATAGATTGCTTATCATCAACGTCATCATTCGTGTCTACTTCAGGCGAAACGATAAATTAAATCAAAAATCAATTACATTCCTTTCTTGTGTTCAGAGCTATCACCTATTTCTCACGTTGCGAGACAAACTGTTTTCTTGATTAAAAATGTTATTGGTGTTTTTAGTGTCGGCGCTTGCAACTATGTGTGTTGGTCGTCCGTATGGTGAAAAGATAAATCCATATAACACGGTAACGGTACCTCCACCAAAGTGCCCGCCAGGTCAGCAGTGGATCAACGGCCAGTGTCGCGATGTTTGGAATGTAGTACCCAAGGACGAATTTCTCGTGGCAGTGTAAGTACATACAATACAATAGCAGATTATTTCATTTTCAGATTTAACTATAGAACCTTTTATTACATGAATACGTACCTATAGAAAGAGTTAGAAATGATAACATCCAAAGGCAGATGAAGTTCGATAAGCCACATTTGATTGCTTTATCGATTTGATTGAAAGAGTTATGAATTCAAAAGTGCTAATCAATTGTTTTTTTGCGATATTTGCGGATCAGAAAATCTTTTACACTATATTCAAAAGCAGCCGGACATCTCTTTCCGACTTTATTCCGAGTGTTCTTGTTTAGGGTGAGACTCGATGCGGATGAGCCACGAAATGTTGTGACGCTGCCACAAAACTGCCCGAATGGACAGCAATGGATAAACGGCCAATGTCGCGAAGTGTGGTCATTTTTATTGCCCCACAATACTGTGACTGTTCCTCCGAACTGCCCTCCAGGTCAGGAGTATATCAATGGAGCTTGTCGCGAAGTATGGAACGGGGATCTCAGGTCGATTCTGTAAGTATAATTTACAATGTTCTTTGCACAATCTTTAGATACTTCTCCCATACTGAATAATGAACCTTTAAGTATCTGAGTAGGTACCAGCCAAAATTTACCTCACATAGAGATGTCTATGTAAGTGAAAGTAACCTAGATAATCATTTATTCGCATACATATCGCCTAACTACTTGGAAAACAATATCTTGAAATATGTGGTTGTGAAATGTACATCGATGATCTTAAGTAGGTCGGTACCTACCTAGGTATCTTACTAGACCCAAGTTCCTGCGAATTTACCGCTGACGCACTTTAGTACTAGGGATTTACAACTAGGATTACGCAACATTATTTTATCTACAAATAACTGAGATTGATTGATTGATGTGAACGTCATTATTTTGTTACTGTAGTACATACATACCTACTCTGAACGAATAAAAGCGCAACCAATAATTTTGTCTAAATTAAGTTTTATAGGTACATTTTCGATCAGGAAAAAAGCAATCTACCTAATTTTTTGTAGAAATCTATGTCAAAAATTATCAAATATTTAGTAAGCTCAAAAAGATTCAGATCAGATTTACTACCATAATTAGACGTATTTAACGTTTATTAAGTTAAAAATATAGAGTTAGATATTTATTTCTGCCTATCAATTTTATTTCAGACGCTCCGAAGTAGTCGATGCTATCGTACATGAATTCAAAAACAGCATTATCAAGAAAAAAACCAAAGATGCCATGAGAAACATCATAACTGTTCCGAATCAATGTCCCAATGGTACTAAGCCTGACGCTCTAGGAATCTGCAGACCTGTTTTCAAATAAAAAACAATATCAACAATTATTATAATGGACCTTATGCACCAGGTTTTTAGAACAGTTGATTAGTTTAGTTTAACCTACGTTAGTGTACTATAATCGTAGCAGATTATTGTGTAAGATCATCAATTAACCATATTCAATATTTATCTATTTTTTTCTACAATGTTATCTGCGTATCTAATTTTTCTAACGACGCAATAAACTTACGGTTTGAATAAAACTTTATTGCTTACCTAATTACATTGTGTCATTTCTATCCTTGGGGACTAAAGCCTCAATTCTCTTAAGGGTGAAATTTTGGAGTTTAGATGGTTGATGATATCTTCACCTTCGTTTTAATAGAAAGATGAACTTATTTATTTACTTTTATAGATGAACTAAAGAATCAAAGAGTCAAATTAAAAGCCACCTCAAAAACGTTTTTCAGATCAAATTCATGTATCCAATGCTGTAAGCATCTTATTTTTCTCTTGCAACATTAATGTAAAATGTCATTCGTTTGTTCTATTGACAGAAAAAGCCAAAAAGTTGAGACTAACCTCGTCACTCTTGTGCAGAACGTAATGAAGCTATCCCTTTTCCTCTCGCACGGAAAACCAAGGGATTTTACTGCAATGATAATGTCCAATGCAATAATGCCAAATTGCCACCTAACCAACATTTTATTTTCGATACTTCTTGTTAAAAGTTTTGTTACATTATCGAATTACTAAAATTTTAATATACACAGTGTCATATATAGGGGTGAGCAATGGCAAACCTCGAAGTAGTCGGGAAAGTTCTAATGAGTGACTCATGTGAATAATGTTTTTACTTCTCTAAGTAGTTGAAAGATTTAAAAAATGTCTGAAAGGAAAGGTACTAAGGCTTTAGAACTTTGGTGCAAGCGTTTGGTGAAAGATTGTCCCGATGTGCAAATAGAAAACATGACAACATCGTGGCGAGATGGTATTGCATTCTGCGCATTGGTGCATCACTTCAGACCAGACCTTATGTAAGTATGACTTTTATTTACACAAACATCTGATACTAAATTTACAAAGTACTGAAAATAACTGTATATGTTGCAGTGATATGTCCAAATTAAGGCCAGAAAACATATACGAAAACAACAAACTTGCATTCAGTATAGCTGAGAAGCATTTAGGTATTCCTGCACTGTTAGACCCTGAGGACATGGTCGAGAATGAAGTGCCAGATCGACTATCAGTATTGACTTATCTATCTCAGTTTTATCAGAGGCTTGGACACACAGGTATTTGTTGAAATTCTTTACATGATATCACATATGCATAGATAAGAATCTTATTTGTGTACAGTTATAAAAATGATTCTATTGTACTACAGTAATTAACACTGGCATATATTAATTTGTTTTGTGGTTTATGCACAGACATAGTAATACAGATCAACTGTATATGAATAAACTCATTGTATAAACTTTAAACAATGGCTAGAAATCTGTTATATGAACTAACTGAATGTCATAGCTTGTATTCAAATGACATTATGTTTCTGTAACAACTTTGTCTACATTACTTTTGTAAAAAGGGGAATAATAATCTGTAAATCAATATCAGTCTAAGGATATTTTACTTACTTTGCATAAATGCAGGGAAACGAATATGACCCAGACATTTCAACAGTTTAGTAGCGGAAAATTGTGTCTACTTTGTAATTGGCATTTATGATTTTTGCCTGGCATAAATTTTTCATATATCTTCAAGACTCCATTGCCAATGGTCAGAAAAAGGAGTTCCATATATATAGATACATGTACAGATATAGCTACAAGGAGCGACATAGAGTTGTTAAAACCACCAAATGCTAATTAATTACTATTTCGAATTCCAGATGCCCAGAAATGGTTTCACAGCATTATAGAAACTAAACTACTGACCTAGGAAGTTGAAGTTTGATTTTAAAGTAATCCTAATGGTGCCATTTAAAAAATGCAATAGATAACTGACCGTTTAACAAAACAGAGAATAAAAAAGCAACAAAAATGATCACTCTCCGCCCCTCCCTAGCTTTAGATACCGCATATTGACGGTCACATTGACGGAACGGCGACATTTGCTAGTAGGACTTAAAAAAAATTAATTTCAAATTCTTTTTACAAAAGGAATTTTAGGACATTTTAGTTCGGATGAGAATCGTTGTGATTGTTCATAAATTCGAACCACTAGTAGAAATGTAATATTTTAAAAGGAAAATATTCACACTAGATTATTTTAATACTTTTTATAAAAAAACTGCTGGACACTTGAACAAGACGAAAAAATTATTTACCCATATACAGCTATTTATCTCCATAAACAGACTTTATTCTGTAGGAGTTTCTTTCATCTGGAATTCGAAAGTAATTAATTATATAATTATATAAAACCACCAAGGTTTAACAACTCTATGTCCCTCTTTGTATCTATATCTATACATGTATCTACACATATGTGTAACACCTTTTTCCGACCATTACTCATTACCCACCAAAGAGAATATAGAGAAAATAGTTAAAACTTTAATTTTTAATTAATTTATTTATTTATTTATTCACAATATAAGTTTACAGCAGAAGCCAAAACACTTATATGTTAGTCAATATATAGTTGATTATATGCTTAGTTACAGTTATATTACATAGGTACTCTGCTTTGCATTCTTAAAAATTCGTTGAGGAACCCAACAGCATATTTCAAGAATTCATTTGAACTGTCGTGGAATATGTCGGCACGTGACTGTAGTGTGAGCAATTGGTTAAGCAAAGAAGTCGCCCGAGCAGTAGGTGCCTGTACACCTACGCAGCAACGACACACGCGCCTCTGTAGTATAGCACCACCACCCTGCAAATTTCGGTCAGGGACAAACAACTCACCCGAGATACCACTCTCATGTTGTCAACTCCACCATTAAAAACAGCGTGATAATGCATTATGAGCATTAGTTTACGCCTCAGTAATAAGCTGTCCAATCCAATCATTCCATATACAAACATAGTAGGGAAAAGATAGGGGTAAACATTGTACATCTTTTTATACGCAAATCTTGCAAACCTCTTCTGCACCTTCTCTATCATGTCACTATATGTGGCTTCGCGAGGGTCCCACACTAGAGCTCCAAATTCCAATACACTGCGAACGTATGAGTTGTAAAGCATCAATGCTACCCTGGAGTCGGTGAAAGGATAAGCTGTTCTCATAATAAACCCCAGTATCCGGGCTTGCCTTTTTGCAAATTGCTATAATATGATCCTTGAAAGTAAACCGCGAATTTAAAGTCAAACTAAGATCCCCAATCACCGCCACTCGATCAATCGCAGTATCGCCTATGCTATAAATAGCAGCGTAAGTTGGTACTCTTGCAAAAGTGATGACTTTCCACTTGGATAAATTGAACTGAAGGCGGTTTGTCCGTGCCCACACCTCTACTGCAGTGATGTCGTCCTGCAACTTATTGCTATCCTCATGCCTTTCTACATCGATGTATAGCTTAACATTGTCTGCAAATAGTAAACATTTTGCGTGCCGAACTACTGTAGGCAAATCATTGATCATCATCAGAAATTGTGTAGGACCCAGCGTACTCCCCTGACTAACTCCTGTTAGAGTATAATAGAACTCAGAGCGACAGCCTGCAAATTGAACGTATTGACTCCTATCTGTGAGGTAACTAGTAAAAAAGTTTAAAAATTTGGGGTTAAATCCAATAATCAATAGTCAAATCTTAGTAAAAATGATGATATACTATTTTCTTGTTATTTGTTCCCCACTTTCCTTTACATTGTGAAAAATGAGCGCAGTGAACTAAAGTATTTTAGCCTTATAAAAGAAACTTAAGAGTATTTTACAAGTAGATGCCAGTTTTTTTAAAAACTTTATTTATTACTTTTACTTGAATAAAGCAATTATTAGCTACAACATAATGTTGTCTGTTTACAGGGTCCTATTAAGTAACCAAGTGTTTGAAAACTACTTGACCAAAACAAGCAAACATGGTTCCAATATCTACTATTACAAAGATATGTAATTTAGTGATTAAAAAACTATTTGACCAACATGATTTCAACATATTTTTGTTTTCAGTGAATACTAAAGCACCAGAAACAGAAGCTAAATCATCGGCATTATTACCCACCCAGTCAAGTGTTAGTATAATAAATTATAGACTACCTGTACTGTATGAGTCAACTGAACACTTGTCTAATGTTTGCAACACTCTCATTGTTGTTATCTAGCATGTTTATCATTGGCGGTTGTTTTATTGTCATTTATCATTTGATTTACGATAAACGAATCCTTTATTATGTATCTACCAGTGGTGTAATAAAAAACAAAAGTGTTGAATAAATGCTGAAATTCATCTCATTCGAACCATTCATTTCTTTAATGTATAAGAAAATTGATATTCAACCCCTTCCAGATTGACTGGTCCACCAGTCAATCATGCACCAAGTCAGGAATACCTTAAAAAAATTCTGACTGATATAACACAACTTGTAGTCATAGATGAATGATAGAACAAACAAGACAGTCAGACACTAAAACAGCGCCAAATGTTTATCTTTCTAGCATCTAACTCTATGCTTATTTTATCACTTGTAGGCACCACTCAAGTTTGGAAAACCAGGTCTAGATAAATGCGCTGCATGCGGCCTGCCTGTGTACTTAGCGCAACGACTCCTTGTATCGCACAAACTCTACCACAGGAGATGTTTCCGTTGCTCAAAATGCTCAGGTCACATGAACCCAAAGAATTTTGAACTCACTGAAGGATCTGATTTTTTTTGTGATAGTTGTAAGAATGAAAAGAATTTACCAAAATTCCTAAATAATAACGATCAAATGGGAATGCTGGCATTCAGTGACGATGTGCCTGAAGCTAAGCCAGACCCCCCTCCTCTAGAGGAGCCAATTAGTCCTAAACACAGAACAAGGCCTCAGTCAATTTTAGGTAAGTATGATGTATAATGTTTCTTGACTTGTCTTTTTTCTAGCTTTTAATATATACTTACTGACACTTCAGATATCTAACTATTACAGCTTTTTGTTTATGTTGTATCGTTGATGTATTATTATTAGTATTATTATCCATGATTATCTTCAAAACTTCTACTAAACGCAAAAACATAAGCCTAGATACCTATCTATAGCACTACCATTCAAAATTTATTTTTCAGAGAAAATAAGTATATTTGAGAATAATGTAGAAAAAGATACAGCAATTGAAAATAAATTTGGCAATATATCTTTAAAAGACAATATACAATATAGTAATAAGGAAAGAAGTACACCAAGTGTATCAAGCACCAGTGGAACACGCAATGAATCTTTTTGCGAAACTGATTCAAAACTAACCGAGAAAGAGGCTTTGGATAAGGATGAAGAGAAATCTCAAGCAAACATTCCCGATAAAGTGTACAAGAGTAATGTTAATAAATTTAATTTTTTACAAACACAACTTTTGGGGGATGTGACAGACCCTGGTAATCGTTTGGATGATGCAGATGTTGTTACTGCAAAGAAAATAGAAGACTGCGATGATATTAATAATGAAAATTGTAATTCTAAGGATGAGGATAGCTCGACAAATGTACTTAAAGAGGAAAGTAATGTAACGGATGATATCAGAATAGCTAAAAGGAATAGTATTACTTTAAGCGCGGATTTCCTGCCTGTAGAAACAAATGAGCATAATACAGCTGAGCAGGAAGTGAAAATGGTTGTGCCACCAAGAAAGAAAAAACATATCAATTCCCCAGAAAAGACTTTCGAATCTGTAGCAAATAAAGTTAATGCTGACCAATATCCTGATTATTTAAACCCGTTTTCTGATGATGAAGAGGTAAGGTCTATCATCTTCTGTCTGCAACATATATAAGAAACAGGCAAAAATATAACCATTTTCATTGTTATAGGAAGAGAAACAAGTAGAGAAACCAAAAAAAGAGAGCACTAATCCCTTTGGAAGTAGTGAGGAAGATGACGATGTGCCTCCAATACAGCCACTGTCTAAAATTCCTGGAAATCACGTTACACCTACGTACGTATTTTTACCATTGAAAATAAACTGTAACTTTCAAAATTATCTCGTATTCTTCCATCTGTATTCATTTATTACATATTTTCAAAAATCATTTACTTTTCAGAAGACGTCTTATATCTGCCAATCCTTTTTGGTCTGACGGCGAAGAACCTTCTTCGGACGAAGAAACAAATGATACAAGGTAACAAATATCTTTCAAATTTTTACAGCTTTTATCCTTTCATAAGTACACAGTGTTACTTTACATTATGCGCTTATATATTCCAGAAAAGCAAAATAGGGAACATTGTGTACAAACAGATCGATGTTCGTATTCATTCGATCATATAAATATTATGTGGTGTACCCATTGCCGCATTTCTCAAACGTATAATCACAATCATTTTTGTTTTTTTTTATTTGATGAACTTAATTTAGGTAATTGCTAGTCAATGTGAACTTTGTCATCGAAACAGCAATCTGTTGATGCCTCCTATATAAGGCATTATGCACTGCCTCTCGGGTATTGAATTTCTATTCATCAACATTACTAAATTATGCAAAGACAGAAAGCCGCTTCGAGCGGTTTGGGGAGCTAATGCCGGATGACCGATAACTTCCAACCGCCTCTTGAAGCTTGAAGATTGGTGTGCAGTATGGGCTCACGCATTGTCACGCAGAACAAGCGAGAATAAGAAATTGATCAAAACTGGCTAATGGGTTACTAGCTTCTTAACATTGTGTGTAATTCCTTACAATTCAAATCAACAGTAATTCTTGCAGCATTTAATAAAGAAACTTTGATGAATAACTCCAGCTCCCAACCACCAAACAGTCACTATAACAAGTGCGGTGTCAGGATCTACCCAACAACGGGACGAACACTTGCGATTGTCAAAATTAATTTCTGTATTTATTGAGCAACGAGAGCCGTGCTATCATTGTGTTCATTGCCATTTTTAAAACTTTTTTAACCGATTAAAAAAAAGGTTCTCTTTTCGCGACTGTTACGTTTATTTTTGTTGTTTGTATGTTACGCAATAACTCATCACGGCATTTGTGAACCGATTTTGATGATTCTTTTTTGTTGGAAAGAGGGTACCTCAGTAGTGGTCCCATTTCAATTTGAAGAAAATATTCCGCCTCTAACGGTGGCAAACTAGGGAATGAATGACTTTTGACGTCGGTTATTTTAGTACTCTGTACTGATTTACCATTTGGTGCATGTGGGCCATTGTTACTAAGGATTGCAAATCTGGATCATATTTGAAATCCGGATTTCGATAACAGATTACGCAGCGATACCGGATAATCCCCATTTTTTTGGAAAACTATAAGAATTCAATAGATTCGCTATTAACTTGAAAAAAAATGCGTGTTTTGGTTTAATGTCAATTAAATTTTAATCTAATCTTTTAATAAGGAGATAATTGAGATCTAGGCATACATAACATGATACGAAATAACACGCAATAATACGAAATTACGCATGGGATTGGTCTATCATGATTCATGACTCATTACAATTCTGGAAATCTAACAAACATTTAGCCATTAAATATCCCAAATCCTATAACATAGAGACAACACAAGAACTAAAAAGTTTAACAATAACACTACTTCGTAACTACGTTTAGAAATAATGTAACATTTTTTATATAAGAATAATAATAAATAAAACATTTATTTTGACCAAAGTTTTTGTCTGAAATAAAAGCGGTCTCAAAAATGATAAAGTGTAAATTTTATTTATCATTTCACCTGCTGCGGATTCTGTTGCATAAAATTCCAAAATTCTGTTTCTTCTTCAAATGCACGAATAAAAATGTTTAAAAGAAAACCGGAATTCAAATCTAGGAAAAATTCCAGATAATTAATCCACATTTTTTTTATTACTGATAATCCTGATTAGATTCCCTATTCATCACTGATTTCGAAAACTGCTGTTAACATAGCCACCGATTGAGAATCATCAACTACCCACGATCGCCATTATTTTCGACTTTGGTCTCTCGACGACCGCGCTTCATTCTTCAGCTTTACATTTCGAAAACAACGTTCAATACCGTATATTATAACTCACCGTGAATGTTGTTTATGTTACGTATCTTTTAGATCACATTGTCAACACGACGACGGAAGACATCAAAAAATTACGCCAATGGGAGTGTCCAGTTTTTCAAAATTTTCGTCAAGTTCTCACTGACCAACTATATAATACCGGCATTGCATCATTTTAAGTTTCAAATTTCGAATGAATGAATTATGTGGTGTTTGGCATATTATAAAAAGCCAGCACAAATTCATGGGTTACACGACCTTAAACTTTTAATATTTATGTTATCGAACGTCATTGTGGTTTTACTATATATCTTTATATATATTCATATATATTTTTGTGAAGATAATCCACTAGTTTAGTGTTATTATTGATATAAAGAATCGATCAAACACAAAGAAAAATTCCTACTATCCGGCTGGATTCGAACCAGCAACTGTTTAGCAGACTGAGGCTGCCGGGCGGACTCGTTCGTATCCGTAACCCCTGTCTGGCAAACAGTTTCTGGTTCGAATCTAGCCGGATCGAAGCAAGAGATATAGCGTCTTGCCAACGCATGCACAGCATCGACATGATGTTCGCGCGACCGCGACGCAACGCCAGCACGGCGTATACCCGACGTCGCTCAATGCTGGCGTTGTGTCCACAAATTAGTTAGGGGTACTGCGTTGCGTCGCCATCGGACATTGTGTTGGCACTGTGCGTGTGTTGGCAAGACACTAACGATTGAAAGACGCTAGTGTGGGAGGTCTCTAACTCTTATTTGCGTTTGTGCGACCTTTGTATCAATAAATAACTTCAACTTTTAATTTACGTGTATTTTGGTGTTTTACATAGCTTAAATGTATACAAATCGTTAACCACGAGTACCCCCAACGTGGCAAATGCGACTCCTCGACGTAAGAAAGCTCGCGCTCCGCCGCCGCCGCCGCCATCTGTCGTCGTCAGCGAACACACTTCGTATTTGGACCCAGCTACATCAATGGACGACGTCGCTAGCATTTCTTCACTTAGCTCTTACAACTCCACTATTCATTCTGATCAGGTAGGTAGTATTCCTATTTATTTTTAACCGGATTTAAAAAAGGAGGAGGTTCTCAATTCGACTGTTTTTAATGATTTTGTTACGCCATAACTCAAATTATACAATTGTAAATTCTAAGGTTAGTGACCCGATTTTGATCATTATTTTTTGTTGGAAAGACAGTAGGTACCTCAGTAGGGGCCTCATTTAAATTGGAAGAAAATAATTCACCCTTAAGGTTGGCAAACTAGGGGAAGAATCCGGTTTCACTCACTTTTCGGTGACCGATTTCAATAAAACTTGGCAAATAGATGAAATTCCACAAAGTTTTGAAGGCAGTTTTTTTAGCACTCTTTGCTGAGATTATTGATTTAGATTTGTGATAGTCGGATTTACATTCATTAATTTTAATGTAAATAATAAATATCGTCGGCGTTTTGTTGAAAGGACGAAAGCGCCATTTCGATTAATTTAGCAAGGGAGTAGCCTGTTTTAAATTCAATGTTTAAAATGAAACTTCATTAAAACCGAAATTAAATTTTAAAACAGGATGTAAATATTTTAAAACAGTCATTAAAACCTAAAACATCTGTCTTCTGTTTCGTCCTTTCTACAAAACACCAGGGATATACCCTCAAAAGTAACGGAGCATTATCCGTCAATGTGTAGGTTGTAATGCTGCCGTCCATAATACAGAAGAGACAATTTTAAAATTCGTTAGGATCTATAGACAAAAGTTAAGAATAAAATTCATTGCCAATTTTTTATATAGCCATATAAAAGTATCATAAAAAAGAGTCCAACGGATTTAAATGACTTTCCGTAAACATTTCTGTACACAATTTCTCCCTAAACCACGTACCTAACGCTCACAATGAGAGCGTTAATAAAGATAATTTCGATTTTTAGAAAAAATCAATATTAATTTTAGAGCACGCATTGTTTTGTACAGTTTTAAACAAGTTTCAATAGATCATTATATCGTTAAAACAAATGTCATTTAGGTAAACATAGCAATATGCTAATTCGTTCTTTATGATCGTGTATAGAAATCATTCGGTAAGTTGACACCGCGTTTGAAGAAGAAACGGCTGGCGCCCACTCCGCCTGACAGTCTGTCTACGGTATCCATTAGTGGTGGCTCGATGGAGAAAGACGTTGAAAATATAGGACGGCATAATATCTCTGACAGTAAGCTTCTTTTTGTTAACCTGTATTATTTTACTTTAAACCTAAGACACCAAATTCACATCCACTTAATTTGTCTTTTGAAGTCGAACTAAAATCAGTTTAATAGGTGGAAAACCATTTCCTTTTTAACATAATTTGTCATCGTAGACCCGTTGCAGCCCACAGCCGAAAATTTCGGCTTAGAAGTTTTTATCCAGTGCTTTTCTCAACCAGCCTCTCCTAGATAGCTCCTTCTCAGTTCTGTAGTGCTAGCACGTCAGGGCGCGACTTGCTCGATAGCGACTTAGAAGCGTGAGATATTGCTATTCTCTATGCAAGAAGATATCGCGCTTTATATGACCGGGCTTGCTGAAAACCAGCGCCACGAAACGGTTTAAATAAGCCGTTTGTGGCTAAAGCTGAGGAAGTCCCGATTGCACTAGCCGCGACACGTATGACGGTGAATCAGATCATAGAGTATCTAATAATTGTATCAATTCGAGTTCTTAGGTTTTCGCGATTGTTACACATAGGAAATAAAACTGTTTTTCCGGATTTAAATCTACGTTTCAATCAACTGACAAAGGTCACTCGACAGTGACCCCCAGGTCCCAATCTGTAAATGCCCCGAAACGTTGGTTTGTTTAAAAAAACAAATATACGCGCATTAAATCCAGAATAATACTTTCATTTCCTAATTGTTTTAATTGTGTTTTTATTATTATCATCATTATCTATTTTACTCTTTCCTAAGGCCTAAAAGGTTAATTTTGAATTTTTGTTGTTAATAGTGTTCCTCTGTTGTTTTGTTTATATGCCTGTTTTTTTTGCGTGTGTAATAAACAGTTTTCTTTCTTTCTTTCTATGCTGCGCAAGTAGCGCCCTGTCATATTAACGAGTAATAACGCGCACACAGTCCTAGCCCAGCACTGGGCAAACCCTGTATCACGAGTGCCATGGACATACACATAGACAACCACAAATTACACCGAAACTCACGAGAGCAATAAATGTAAGCATACAAATATTTCTCTCGGCCCGGGATTCGACCCCGGGCAGTCAGCTAGCATGGTAACCGTTCGGCCACGGCATGTTGGAGGCAGGAATCTGACACAACATTGTTAGCCTATACTCGATCTCCACTCAAGAATAAGTCTGCTTAGTTTAACGTTATATAAATATAAACTTAAACAAAAACTGTCCCTTCAACTTGTAACGAGTCGCCTCGAAGAATATATATTTTGAAAATAATGTTATAGGTAGCCGTAAAGCAAAAGGCCCAGCCCCAGGTCTACCTCTTCCTGAACGTCGTGAAGTCAAAATGCAGATGTCCCCCGCAGAGCTGCAGGTGCAGCTCGACCTGCTGGATACGCAACAGCTGGGCCTCGAGCGACAGGGTGTACTCATCGAACAGATGATACGGGACAAGTGTGAGGGTAAACATATTCCAGCACCTGTTTTTATAGCTTTAGCACTTCTTTTCTAAAACGTTTCCCAGGAATTTAAGTTATATTTATGATCTTATTAGTATGCACGTAGATAAGTCATCTAAACTGTCATCGTTTAAATATCTGGTTTGCTGGTATTAGTAAAGTAATTTAGTAGCAGTAGAGCTCCTTGAGAAAGTTCGTCTAGGTACCGCCAGCTTACCTATTTCTGCCGCAGCAGCAATGCAACAAAAAAAATCATTACTACGTTCCTATTTTGAAGTGCTGGTGAAATTACAGGCACTGGGACTTGTCAAATTATGACTAAGGGCGCGTTCCCATTATGTCGTAACGTTTTATTTATCATTGGACGACTGTCGCGTCTAGCCTGTTCCCAGGTCACGACTATCTGTCGTGACTGCGTCGTGGACGTTTATTTTATCGTTGAACGATTGTCGTGTCTAGCTGTTCCCATTAGATCGTGACTACAATTTATCGGTTCACGGCAGCCGCCTTGTCGTTTGCACGACAAAATCGTTTGAAGTTGCGATTCTCTGTTGTCACATTTTTTACGTGACGTTTTATTTATCGTTGGTCGACTGTCGTTCTAGCTCTTCCTATTGTCACGACAGTCTGTCGTCCTAACGACAAAAAAAGTCGTTAAGTAGTGAACGACAGTTAATCGTGTTGTACTATATGGGAACAAGTTCATTTAAATATACAAGTCACGACAGTTTAAGCTGCACGACTATATGTCGTCATAAAAAATGGCAACGCGCCCTCAGGGTGACGGGTGTTGTGGCAGTGCCCCTCAGATTATTGCGATTTAACTGTGGCAAAGTTGCACTGCAATTGTTATGAATAGGCGTGTCGCTTACTACCAAGCGCACGACTTGTTCGTCCCGTCGTCGCTTGATATCATAAAAATATATATTTATATAGTATATTTATATGCATACTTTGCGCTAATTACAGAATGTATATACGTGAGACCAGCTATCAGCGGAAAAGTGATAAACTCACATTCGATTTTTTTGCTACAATATTACTATGAATGATACATAAGTAATAGTTACTGTAAAAGATATTTAATTATTACATATTTTCATAAACGAAATTAACATCCAAATATAAAATAATAATATGTACTTTAAGTGCAAAATTAATTTCAAATGCGTTTTTAGACGATTTTGCCTGGACAAATTTTTATCCTCTTTAAGTTTCTTGGTACGCGCATTCAAACGTTTTATTGCGTAAGCGGTTTACTGCTATGCTGCGCCTACGATGAGTCATTTTAATAATACGGTGAGTGATGGCCTGATTACTTAATAGTGGTAACGGTCTATGACTGGCAACAAATTGTTACCATCCTTACTGCATTAATGATGCAGATTATCGCTTGTAAATAAGAAGTTCTTTATAATTATATCTTTACAAGCGATAATCTACTTCAATACCGCGTTTCCATGACTCATACTTTCCTGGAATACAATTTAAATTTTATTTCGAGTAATCATTGTACTGATTAGTGTACTAAATAAATCAATTATTTTTTGTTTGAATAATATCATAAGCTATTAATCAGTCAATTACTCATTTCGTAACAAATTACTGTAGATACGGCTGCAACCAAGCGTAACATACTATGTACTTTTAAGTAATTAAAAGAATGTAAACAAACTATAAAAAAGGTTACTTATAGAACAACGTTTGGTGTCTGTACAAAGTACATTAAGGTACTTTAAAACAAATTTAATAATATTTGATGATTATTTTATTTTCCCGCAATAAAACATCACCTAAAGAATACACAATTTTTCAGAGGTTTAGAACCGTAGGCTTCTAGCGAACACAATATAATTCGACAGAAGTAAGAAGTGTCAAGCCGGATTTACATTTATCTAACGTGACGTGTCGTGTCGTGCCGCGTCAGAACGGTGTCGGTTTTATATATTTAAAATGGTTGGATTTATATTAGTGTGTCGCAATCTGACGTGACGGCTTGTGCTGTGTGTATGAAACCGATACCGTCCCCTGACGCGTCACGACACTACAAGTCAGACAAATGTAAATCCGGCTTCATTCTTCATGTTGCAATATTTCACCGTACATTGTTTTTAATTCAGTCAGTTTGACAAACGCCTATTAGCGGTTTTCGGAACTGTATTTATTGGTTTTTTTCTTTTAATTTCGTTGTTTTGTTTTAATTTTAATTTTGTTTTTGTGTTATGGGTTTTATGTATTATAAACGCAAAGAGTTATTGCGTTTGTCAATGTTTTTTATCATACAAATTAAACACCTCTGGATCTGTCATTTCTGACAGCTCTCGTTTGTTTACATTCTTTTAAATACCTAAAACTATAGGGAATTCCCTGTACTATGAGTACCAGAGCAACGGAACTTACTCCGGATCATTACCCCGAACACCCAAACCAGAACCAATTTAAGAAAAAGTTAATTACACAAATTGGTGCTACTGGAAATCGAATCTAGAATCTCCATATCCAACACCCACGGCGATAACCGTTGTGCCTGCAAGATCTTCATGCGGGATGACTTTACTAAGGCGACAAGTTCGCTAAGGTGTTTTTTTTTTTTCAATAAAGTTCATGTTAAATTTTTCAATTTTAATTACCATTTTTTAATAGTAATTTTAAAAAAAACTTGCAAGTACCAAATTGAAGTTTTAATACTTTGCAATTCGACGCATGATAAGTATAGACGGCAGCACATCAATCTACGCATTGACGAATCTTGTTCCTTTGCACTGGGTGTAATATTCTAACAAAAGTATATAGCTTGATATGCTATTGACTGTACATTCCGTATAAATTGTTTATATATGACCTAAATAACGAATACAAACTTTATTATCATCGAAACGCCAACTCCATTTTTAACTTTTTGATGTCCTCAGTCCACGCGATATACATATATAAATAACATAAAATATTCATATAACTAATTCAATCTTTGCTACAAGAATCAAACACAACACAGTAGGAAAAGTCATAGCGGAATCTAATAGAATTATTTAGAACAAATTGCTTTGTTTACAGGCGACGAGGGGTCAACCGCACCGCAAGAGGAAGTCGAAGATTTAGTAATACAGCTCTGTGAACTGGTCAACGAGAAAAATGATTTATTCAGAAAGCAAACTGAGTTGATGTATATGTAAGTGTATTGTGAATGTTGTTTGCATGTACTCTTTTTGTGTGAGCTACCTTTATCAATTGGAGAACTCGTGTTTGACAATGTGGAGTGGAGAATGATTGATGTCCATTGTTAATTTATTGTGCGTCATTTGTATTCATTCATGTTGGTACTTTTGCCTACGACTGTACTCTATTGTACTGCTTTCACCGCAATGTTGTGAAATTTCAACTAAAACTAATGTCTTGTAACGGCAAAAGGAATAAAAACCAAAAGGAACTTGATTTGGCTTATAAAACGACTAGCTGGTGCTGCCACTTCGTCTGGGTAGGTTAACACTTCGAGTAGCCTACTGTACTATACATTTTTTTTGTTTGTTGATTTCTTAAAAAAGGCATAAATGTATTTTCAGATCCTTTACTTAAGAAATTATTGGATCCCTATAATAACGCACACACTCAACATAGCCCCGCACTAGGGAAACCCTGTGTCGCGGGTGCCATGGACACACACATAGACAACCACAAATTACACCCAAACTCACGAGAGAAATAATTGTAGGCCATACAACTATTTCTCTCGGCCCGGGAATCGAACCTGGGACCTCTGCGTGGCAGTCCGGCATGGTAACCGTTCGGCCACGGAGGCAGTTACTATACAAACTTTTATCCCATATTTCACCCACTTTAAGATTTTTTTTTGACAAAAAGCAGCCTATGCCTTCAGCCTTCTGGGTCCTAGGTCTCGTCTATCTCTATATAAAAATTCATCGAAATTGGTTCAGCAGTTTAGGCGTGAAAACGTAACAGACAGTCACTTTAATTAGTTTGAACATAAAGGATTCTGAACATTTAACATCTACTGCTATCGCTATTCATAATCCTTTGAAGAAAGAACGCGTCGGTCTTGTTTTCATACAGAAACTTTTTCAAGAGTGTATCCGATAAAAAATTTGTAATATCCGTTACTAATATAATGTGAAACGTTAGTATTTTGTACTGAATAGTATTGGAATACAGTGCCCCAATATATCTGTATGTAAAAAACCTTAAATGCCAAATAGTAATTTTTATTACAGAGCGTTTTAAACAAAATGAGTCTCTTAATTAGGCATTTAAAATCAATCTTAAGGTTAAGCAAAATATGTTAAATAAAATACCAACTACGGCACTACTTATTATCTTTTATCATTGCGTGTTTATCATAACTCCCGCATTTGTGAACCGATTTTGATGATTCTTTTTTTGTTGGGAAAAGGGTACCTCAATAGTGGTCCCATTTAAATTTGAAGAAAATATTCACCCTCTAAGGGTGGCAAACTAGAGAATGAATGACTTTTGAGGTCGATTTTTTGCTGAAAAATTCTCTACTTTTTCCTTTTTCCTTAACTTTTCGCGGTTAGCGTTTCAGCCACCTACAAATTTTTTTAACTTATTTTCAAACAAATAATAACATTTGCAAACTGAATTAGGAAGTAGGAGAAAGGCTGAAAGAAGGATCAGGCGAGGACTGTGCGATATGAATAATCAGTTAGTGTAAATATAGGATAAATATTATATTTATATAAAGTATAGCCTACGCTAAAAGAGTACAGTTCCATTCTTTTTAATATTTCTAGGGAAATGAGCGTTATGCGCAGGCCACACCACGAACAAAGTTAAGCTAACTTAGCTTAGCTCACGTAGCCAGGCATCTTTTCATACTTCGGTTCACACCGCGAACTAAGCTAAGCTAACTTAGCTCACGTAGCATCTTTTCATAAGCTAACCGAACTAACTAAACTAACCCGACGATCCCGCTTTAGTCTGTTCCAGTCCATTTTCAACAAAAAGTAAACAAAATTGTTTAGTTACAATTCTAAAGCAATCACTCAATAAATCGAATAAGTAACACTTTCACGTATATTTCGAAGATTTCGACTTGATATCTCAACACTTTGTCCAACAATATTTATTTGAATATCATGTAAAATTGTATTTGAAAAATCGTAGTCCAAAAGTGAGGTTATTTTTTATCTATACATCTATGGGTCGTATTCCAGAACTGTACTCAATGCTCAAGTCAGGATTTGAGCAGACTTGAGTATGATTTCAAGCACTGGAAATTTATTAGGGCGGTACTAATAGCAAGGACTTGAGTATGATTTTCAGTGCTCCCTACAATATTAAAATCCTGACTTGAGTATTGAGTAGAGTTCTGGAATAAGACCCTATGACAATGGTTGTATAGTGCTGCACGAAAAAAACATTCGGTTCATTTAATGAAAGTTTTTGTAATCGATTAGTAAGGCGAATATTTCAATCGCAATCGATCGAGTATCTAAGTTTAAGGATTTGAAGGAGGACATAAAATTAATATTTCGGAAATTTTAAGTATGCTTAATAGGTTATGCAAGGGAAACTGCTAGTATGGCTCAATTGAAGAAATCGATTCATTCAATTAATTAAATTAATCGATTTGTAGCTGACATTACAATTGGACATCACTAAACCGTCTACGGTGTCAGTGACTTGTTTATTTACATTTCGTTGAAAATGGATTGGAACGAAGTAGCTATGTAAAATATGTCACCCTTCACCCCTGCACGTATCTATGTAAAATAGGTCACCCTTCACCCCTGCACGTATCTATAGTCACTGCTTACTACGTATTTTCTTAGCTTAGCATGCAACTACGTTATCTAAGCTAAGTTTTAGCTTCGTTCACGGTGTGGCCAGCGCTTCAACATCACGTTGTATAGACAAATGTGTCTCTGCAATTAATTCAACCAGCTAGATGACTTTTGTACTTTGTATTTAAGCAACTTTACCTCATCGTATTTTTTATGTCGTAGCTATCGTATTCTAACCTGTATTTCTTTCAGTACTCTAACCTGCATCTCTAGATCCACTGGCCATTTTTTGGTGAATCTGTTCACCAAAAAAATGGGCTAGCATACATAAATAAATAAATATTAGACAACATCATATACGTTGCACTCATTCCAAAGTTAGTAGCTAAAACACTTGTGTTATGGAAATCTGAAACAACGACGGTATCACAAACACCCAGACCCGAGACAATATGGAAAAGTTAGTTTCTACACTGACCCAGCCGGGGATCGAACACGGGACCTCAGAGTTGGCGACACCATGAAAACCGATGTGCAAGCCACTCGACCACGGAGGCCGTCAAATATAATTATTATGTCGTAATACTTGTTGTTTCGGTATTCAATTGACTGGTTTTTATTGTAAAATAGTGTGAAAGCCATTACGCTTCAACGCACCGTGTAGAATTGTAGATCCTCGCGGATTCCCCACCAGCATACTCCCAAAATTCCGTTCATGTCATTCTACTCAATACAAAACAGAGAAACAAAAGGGGTTACATCCGGCCACTGATTGATTATATTTTATGTGTGCATAAAGTACATTCCTATTCTGTTTACAGTCGTAGACAGCAGCGTTTAGAGCAAGAGCAAGCGGACATCGAACATGAGATCCGCGTTATCCAATCGCGGCCCGCCAATCGTTGCGATGCAGACAAGGTACATTGTGTGTTATTGATCTAAATAAAATTAGTAAATTCACTTGACATGCTTTCGTATTATATCCGTGATAACAAAAAGGTGCGGCCGCATTTCAGTAGATGACGGCACGCATGCAGAAAAAAATACTTCCCTGTAATTGTACAAGGAAGTAATTTGCGCTTGGTCAAGGCCATGAGTATACAGGGAAGTAATTTAATAAGTAGGTGTAAGTAAGTAAATATCTTTGACCGCACCGCCGCCGCTTTGACCGCCGCGTCTTACATTAACTTGGCTGATACGCCAATGACGCCTTAAAGCGCCATTGAAATTCTTTAATATTCAATTGAAATTAATAAATAAATAATAAGATATTCCTTGTGTTATTTGTATATATATATATATATTCTAGTTAAGTATGGATTCATAGATGCATTTTATTTTCAGCTACGTCGTTCTTGACTTAGGAGAATTGAATTTATATAATAAGGTGGAAATTCATAACATGTCACATCACTATATTATAGGCTTGGCGTCAAGGGAACGAAACTAGTTTTTGTCAGTGGCGGTCAAGATTAAAAGAAATTTACTTCCTTACCTATTTCTGCTGCCAAGCGATAATGTGAGCATTACCGCGTTGCGGTTTTGAAGGGTAAGGATGCTGGTGAAATTACAGGCACATGGGACTTGTCAATTTATGTCTCAGGTTAACGGGCGCAGTTTCAGTGCTCCTCAGATCTTCGCGTTTTAAAGCTCTAAGTGACACTGTAACTATCATTGATAGATGTGTGTGAGTAACCACCAGGCACAGCCGCTTAATATCATAAAAAAGTTTTCAAATACATTTCGTATAGGAAGCCGTAATATACTTTCGCGCAATTAAATACTATATTTGTAAAAATTGTTTTGTTATCGTGAATACCACCATAATGAAATACGGTAGCACCTTTTCATTACATGACCGATAGTGTAACACACAAATTTTTACTAATTTAACATCTAAAAGAACATGCTCTTAAGACGGGATTAATTCTTGCATCAAATTACTATGTATTAGAGAGTACAGCCAAGAGCACAAAAAGCTTGACACTTTGGACCGTTCTTATTGCAAGCGGCACAGAGTTAAATTCAAACCTTTAGTGTCAAGCTTGACGTGCTCTTGACCCTATACAAACATTCAAAATACATGTAACTCGTAAAGACGAATTGGAATTTTTAAATGCAGACTGATAGAGAGCGCACCGTAGTGAACCCTACGCCGTCGAGTACCAAGGTGGGATCAGTTAGGTGTTAGTGTTGATAAGGCATCCTAAAAATGCGGGATTGCCGAAACAAAGTCTGTATTATTTCTTGTTGTGGTGTAAACAATAATGTTTTGTTCGCGTATCTTAAATACTTTTCAAGATACATAGATACGACATATTATCAACTAATTGAGGTGTAAAAACATGCATAAAATTTTATTAAAATCGTCTTTATAGATTTTAGTCAATACTAAGAACAAAGCTTTCGATCACCAGATAATGACTGTTTTATCATAACAATGACACTATCTTGTGAACTCAAAATATTAATGTATGAAAAGAATTACTATTGCACAAAATTGAGTAATTTTCAACAATTTGTTTACATTTCCTATATCGATTGTAATTACTTGAAATCTTTTGTTAAATTTAAAGTGCATGTATTTAAATGATCATTTTAATTTTGCCAAAGCAGCAGCCAAAAAAATCGAAACGGTCATCGTTTTTGATGATTGATCCTTTTTCTCTGAAACATAAACTAAATCGTTGTATACTTTAATTTGTTCTGAGCTAATGTTTGATTTGTATAAATGATAGTTTCATGTTGAGCCTCAAAACTAAGACAAATGAGCATTAAAAACCTGAAACCACGTTCGGAAACGCAAGCAAATCCGCTTCTGGCGTCTGCATCTGCTTTTTCATATATTAACGTAACCTACTGAATGGAGAGCGCAATCAAGGAAAAAAAAGGATCAAATATTATTTTTGCCTATCAAATGTTAATTTAGTATGCTTAAATTTAATGACAGTGTTACCTTGAATGCAGTTCATTTATAATTTATCCGTAGATCAACTAATATAGACAGAACAGTTAATAATTATGTATTTATATATATGAAACATAAGAAAAAGTATCGTTTATTTAAAAAGTGCACATTTATAATAATAGATAAATTATATCTTTGAGGATCAAGCAATATTATCTTTACTTTATTTGAAATTTGATTATTACCTTATCTGAAATTAGAAAATCCCTCAAATCCAGAAGACCCAGAAACAATTTAGAAAAGTTCTTTTCCCAAATTGGTGCTCCCGGGAATCGAACCCGGAACCTCCCATCCAGCGCCTACGTTGCTACCATGCGGCCACCGAGATCGTCAAATGTCTTTAAATTACTAGTAATAGCCACTTATTGTTTTAACAAAAAGTTTCGTCACTCCTTTTGTATACTGCTTTAATTGACGCTACTTCTATAAATTGTAATACGTCTCGTTTTATTATAAAGTTCAGTTTTTTTTTATTTATCAATTTTTTAGCCGTTATAAACACGCTCTATATTATTTTATTAATTTGCTTATAAACTTTTCCAGTCTCGCGAAGAGCATCTAGTGCTGCGATTGGTACAAATTGTGCGCATGCGCGATGAGTTAGTACAGCAGCTGGACGCCGAGCGCCGCCGCGAACGGCAGGAAGATCTCGCCATCGCCGCCTCGATTGCATCTAAGAGAGGTACCAGCCTAGTCATTGCCATGAGATTCATTAGATTATACTTTCAAAATCTCAAATAATGGAACAATCTAAAAAAAGTTGCACGTCATTACGAATAGTAAACAGAGACTACAGTACTTGTAGTTCCTGTCAAGCACAAAAATCACATACAAACTCACCTCGTTATGCCTTGCAATAACGCGGGCAGTATTTTTCCTACATTGTCTTTGTCTTGCCCTGCAACTGAAATAATGTCATTTTTCAGCAGAGCTTCTAGGAGATTGAAGACGGGCCACTCCTCATAACTTCCTTTATAATATTTAAATTACCGGCCTTGATAGTAAATTAAAAAATCGACCGTTTATTACAGCTCAGAGAAACAGCGAGTCCAACAGCTCTTCAATGAAGTCCGTAGAAGTAGCCCCGACGCCTAAAAAAAGCAAGGTTAAAGACAAAGTAAAGAAACAATTGAAGAAAGCCAAGCACTCTCTGATTTCCAAGAAAAAAGACGAAGCGTGTGAACACAAACACGAAAAACCCGAAAAAGAAAAGAAGGCAAAATAATATCCGTAAAATGACCGGAGGTATTAATAGAATAGGTGAAATTATATTTATTACTTCAAAAATCTAGGCTATACTCTTCAATCAATCCTCGATCGACCTTAGGTCTTCTTAATATTTGTACTGAAAGTACTTAACTAAGACTGAAACATTCCACTAATAAATCGAACATATTTGTAAAGACTATGTGCATATGGAATTCGTGTCATAGTAGTTCTTTGAAAAAGAAAACTTTATTTTTAAAGGCGAAACTGACGATTTTCGATAATGTTTAAAATAATGTGCCAGATTTGAAAATAATATATAATTGTGCCATGCGAGCTAATGTTGGTATTACACACGCGGGTGCAAAGCCGCAGTTTAGTCAATAGAAATAATGCATAACAATTCGACATACCTATTTTCATCAATTATATCCATCCATTGTTATAGTTGCATCCGAAAGGTCCATTAAAAATTAATCTTTATATATCGAAGCTGGAGAGCGATCTTGTCGTATCTCGAAAAATAGGACTTTACACCAGGACCGAAAAACTACAATTTCAAAAAATTATTTCTCTTTAATTTGAATTAGTAGAAAGTCAATTTTAAAGTATGATTATATACATCATACTTTAAAATTGACTTATTTTTCGAAATAGTTTTTCGGCCCTGGTATAAAGTCCTATTTTTCGGCCCTGGTATAAAGTCCTATTTTTCGAGATACGACAAGATCGCTTTCCGGCATCGATATAGTCTTAATTTAAAAAAATTACTCTTAATATTTATTTCGTCCTGCGAGACAGCCTCTCCGACTAGGTAATAAAAAAGTCACTGAATACAAAATTAATCAAAGACGTCTAGTATTATTAAAGGTTTTAAGAGACTACACTAGATGGCGCATGAAAATATACAAACAACGTACACGCTCATAGCCCCGCACGAGGGAAACCACGGAAGAAAAAAAACTATTGATGTATTTATTGTTCTGTGAGGGAAACTGTATCACGGGTGCCATGGACACACACATAGATAGACAACCACAAATTACACCCAAACTCAGGAGAGAAATAAATGTAGGCCATACAAATATTTCTCCCGGCCCGGGAATGGAACCCAATACAGATTTAAGTTATTTGTTGTGTGTTAGAAAAGATAACACAGATTATGAATAACGTATTTACTCAAGTTTGCACATACTACACTGTCTAGGTAGAGACAACACTAGATTGTATTTTTAACACTAACTTTATAGTACAGTCAAAACCACATCAACCTTGAGCCAAAGTCTCAAGTCTTTACGCCATTTTCATAGTGTGCAGCATAGAGTTCAATTTAAACTTATCTTGACCCTGTACCATCTCGGTTTTTACTCTCAAAAAAAAAAATAAGTTCAATAAATTTGTTACGATTCTCAACCAAAATATCTAAATTGCAAATAATAAATTCTACAGTATATACTATAACACCGGCAATTTGCTTTTAGTACATACGTACGCAATTTGCCATTTCAATTCCGTACCAGAGGTAAACAGATTCATGCTCATAAATTTAACATACACCAAAATAACAGGCAAATACTTTTATCCCTAAGGCAACAGAGATTGAAATAGCAATAAACTTTTATCTGCTAATGTGTTTAAAAATTAATGGCACAAGATTTAACACCCTTACATATATTAAATATGCTTTAAAATAAGTTTTAAGTAACCAGCTTCTTTAGTAACTAACATAATATTTAACGACACTATGTATTAACCATAGATAAACGAATTGTTAATTGGTGTTTACCATCAAGTAAATAACCAGAAATAGAGGTGAAATGTCATTTAATTTGAAAACTATTCTGTCACATACGTGACAACTGCGCTCCGTTTGGCTAGCCCGAGTTCGAAACAATTGACGGGTGTCGTCAACTGTTTCACTTCATATCGACCAGTTAACTTGAGCTTTGCTATAATGGACAAATATTTAATTACCGATGAAATGTGATTCCGTTTGTTTTATAATTAGATGTTTTGCTGTTTTTCCCACACCACCGAATAGAACAGCACGGCATTGTTAGAGATATTATCTTTATTACATTAAATACAGATTTTTTTTTTGGAATATACGGAGACGTACTTACAGGTCAATAGTTGGCCTGTCTATATTTCAATGCAAATGAGAGTTAATATTTATAAGAGCTGTATCGCTAATGTGCTACCAGGAAAATATGGCCCTTATTTCGTCTCTATTTCTGGTTATATACTTGATGGTGTTTACATATACAAGATCACTGTCAAAAACAAATTTGTAGTAGATATTTGTAGTCCACAACTGTCATTCCTTATTATGATTTCAAATAATTTATTTTGCATAATATAATTATGACAACCGAATTTTTCTAACGATAAATTGTATAATTATTATAAGAACTTAAATTTAACTGGCAAAATAACTGTATATTTTATATTGGTTCTAAAACTAACACAACTTGTAATGAACGCTCAAACAATTCTACGTAATTTAGATTTTATTTAAGTACACTATTGAAAAGTGATTTTGAAATTTCTTTGCTTTGGCTATTTTTATACCATTCTTTAAACTAATTCTGATGAAATTAATTACCTATTAACAATATACATATTATTATTTATTAAGTTCAAAAATATTGCATAAACAATGAGTTCTACAATCTTAAATATATATGTAAAAATTTTGCATTGAGACTTAAACAAATATAATACTCGTCTTCCGAATTATTTTTATAGAGGTATATTTTTCTTGTTATACATGTTTGGTGTTTTAATATATGAAAAATGCAATATTATGTAACTGCATTCACTACAGTCAATTAATGCTGAACAAACTCACTGCAACAGACTACACCTTGCATCAAGAACACATCATTTTGTGTCTTGTCTCTGTCTCATATTTAGAATTAAGTGCACTTATCACAAAATTGCACAAAATCAATTTCTTAATTGGAAAAAAATACAAAAATGTTTCATTAATGTGGTGTTTTATTACATTTCAAACTATACCTATGTACTTGCAACTCATTTATACAGTTACATTTTGTATTATGCCCAAAAATTAATTTTAATATTACCTTTTATATAAGTATTACCTATAAAGGTGTTTACTTTGAACTCAACAAGGTGCCTGCTTACAGACATTTACAACAGTAAATTTTTCATAAATAATGTCTTGTAAAGTTCAAGTAAACACCTGAATTTATTACTAAATGTTGTCAATTTCAATTCGTAAATTAGATTTTTTTGCTTTACTTATCCTTTCTCTCAAGTCATCAGACTTCTTTTCTTTTCTTGATTTTAAAATTTGTCGTAAATCACTTTGAGTCTTCTCTTTACTCACTCCGCAGTCCAATCTTGACCAAACACTAGAAGCCGTTCTTGCATTTCCACCTACTTTCTGTACTCTACTCATGATGTTATGATCATTATCATCAGATGAGTATTCATCACTTGAAGATGCCTCTATGACAGCCATACTAGCACTGGTAGGCGCCACTTTTACACCAAGCCTGGAGAGAATGCCATCCCTTTTTGGAACAGTGTGATTCCTATATTTAAATTTGTCTGATAATTTAGTTGTTTCTCTTGGAATGTAATCACTTCGTGTATTAACTACCTCAATTGATAAGGGAGCATACTTTTCTCTCTCTGTATCTTTGGCAAATGTCTTCCGTTCCACAGTTTCTTCTTCCGAACCATACTCTACAACTTTCTTCTTCTTTTTAATCTTTGATTCTTCATCATCAGCACGCATTCTCATTCGAGGAGTTTTAGATTTCTTTTTCCATTCTGAATCTGAGCCACTATCAACTTTATCATCATGACTTCTCTTTCCAAGTCTCATGGCTAACTTCTTATTTCTTAGTTTAGGAGGTTTATTAGGTTTGTCAATATCCTCTTCATAATCATTTTTGGGAAGTTTACGGTTGAACACCTCTTGATGGTCATAAACGCCCCAAGATCTACAAAGATCACCCCAAGGGTTCTTACTGACTGTATCCATACTCTGATCAAAATATTCACTTGTGCTCTTTTTTTCTGGCTTCTTTTTTGGTATTTTCTTGTCACCATTTGTAGCAAAACGCATAAGTATTAAATCCTTCTTTGGATGTGGCAGACCTTCTCTCCAATGGTGGTCTGATTTCTCACTCAACATTTTTTTTAGTTGTTCATCTTTAATTTCACGAGAATGGACCAACAAGGCCAACGCTGCTGAGATGTGATCTTGACAAACAACATTGCCTGGAAATCAAAAGATAATTGTAAAATACAACAGGATGGAATACATCACAATTGCTGCAAATGGAGATTAATAATCTCAAACTATTCCACTAGGAACAGGGTTAAAAAATTACTAAAATATACCTACAACTTACATGACATTTCATCAGCCCATTCCAATGATACTGGCTTATAGTCTTCCAAGTACTCAAAAATCTCTCTTGTAGTGAGTCCTTCCACTCCATGCAGATGTATAGAATCAAACCGAAAATGTCTCTCATTCCCACTTTCAATACCAGATTTAGCATAGAGTTCATCTATTTGTGACTGCGTAACTATTCTACTCCCGGTCAAATTTAGCCCAAATCTCGTGGCTCTCTCTTCTAACTTACTCGCATCAATTTTCTCTAAAGCTTTAACAACTATCCCCGTCTTCTCGGCCTTATAAAGCTGAAGCAAAACAACACGTTTAAATAACAGAAATGTATCAAAATAATGGCATTGATACCAAGGTTTAATTGACTTACCAATGTGCAATTGCTGTTATCCTCTACAGGACTTTTAACATCATCAACGATCATTGCATTATCGTCACTCATTTCACCGTCTTCTCTATCCATTATTTATATTTTTTAGTCAAAAGGAACTGAAATTGATTCAATGTTACCCACGCAAAATGATGAAGCTACGGAAAACAGAGTTGAGACCGAGGCGAGCGGCGAGGGGGCAAGCACAAAGAAGCGAAGGGGCAGGAGGATATTTTTTTTGTTTGACGTTGACTTTTTTAAAAATGGCATCAATCCATCTTTTTTATGCAAACTTTTTTTTGTATTATGGCTTTGCGTAGGTCATTTAGCTAATGTCAAAGTTAGGAAAACAAGGGTAAAGGAAAAACATAGCGGACCGGAATTTAGAATAGAAAGGAAAAAGGACGTATTTTTTTAAAAGTATAATAATAATATATAAACTTAATACTAATCCTCTAAGATACAAACACCCACATACCCCCAGTATGTATATACAGGGTGGAAATTTGCAATGCCACTTGGAAGGAAAGTACGTTAAATACTGGAGATAGAAATTTTTACTTAAAGGAAACTTTATTTTTAAAAATTGCTAGCCACACGCGGGATTCGAACCCGCTAAAATCTTTAAAAAAAATGCAATTTTATTAAATCAATCGATAGGGTAAATTATGAGGATGAAATCTCTCTTACAAACCATACAATCTGGACTTATAAATTCAATGGGTCAAGTTAAAGCACTTTTACTCAAAGGTCAATCAGATTACTTGTTAATTATCGTTGACGTCATTTATCCATTAAAATGACGAAGTACTATTTAGATAAGAAGATTGCAATTTGCACATGTTTGTAATGCAGACTCTTTGGTCAGAGGCACGAGGTAATTTAAATATGGAATGCTTCAATTGAAAATGGATTGTCTAATTAGTTAGATTACCTTTTTTTTCATTTTATTAAAATACGTTAAGATTTCATGGTTTTTTTTCCGTTTAATTAACCAATTTCGTGAGAGAGATTTTATTCTTATAATTAAACCTATCGATCGGTGCAATAAAAGTGCAGGTTGCATTTTTTTCAAATTAAAGCGGGTTCAATTCCCGCGTGTTGTTAGAAATTTTCGAAAATCTATGAATGCAGTCTTATTTCTTTTAAAAAATAAAGGAATGTTTCCTTTAAGTAAGAAATTTCTATCTCCAGTATTTAGAGCACTTTCCCTCCAAGTGGCATTATAAATTTCCACGCGGTATACGATGATACGCTTCAGAAAAAATAATCTGTGGCCACCCACAGACAGAATAGAGTACAATTCACAAACTACTAATCCAGTACAATTCAATAAATACTCTGTGGCAAAGGCGCTGCCATCGTTCAATTCAAGCTATTCCTCTTTCTCTAATTTGTGAGCCGTACATTATCAGTTCAGTTATGTCCTAAGACTTGATGTTTTAGCCATTTAGCTATTATAACTATATATTATAACTCGCTGTTAAGTGAACGATAATTACTAATAAGTAATAATCTAAAAAATCCTCCCGGGAAACACCGTCATGGCGTCATACATGGAAATGAGTCTCGAAGACATCATCAAGCGAAAGAAGAGGGAAAATGTCAGGTACATTTTCTTTTCCAAAATTTTTCGATTGCTTTATGAATCATGATCAATAGCGATCTAGAATATGGATCTTGGTGGTGGTTACATTGTTGACTTCTTGTAGACATTAATACTACAGTAAATAATGGTGATAGATGCATATGCATGACGATATTTGTAGCACATACTTTTTACGTGCCCTCTCAGACACGAAATGCTTCATTCCATACAGACTATGTATTTGGTTTCTCGCGCCAAAAAACTAATGCGTAATGAATAAATTATAACAACATACTATTTCATACCCATATTTCTAAAATTGCAGAATGAAAGGTCCACAAGGTGTTCCAAAAAGAAGCAGGCCACCAAAAAAAGATGTACCTCCGACGAAACGGCCCATTTTTGATGCTCGCAACAAAATAATATCTAAAAAGAGAACACAAATAACTGATGCACGGGAGAAATTAGCACAACTCGCGAAGCAAAAGGATGCTAGATTGAAATTAGAACAAATGCGGAAGAAAAGGGTACGTTATCAATAATTCATAGACTGACAATCTAAGTGATTTATTGTAAATAGTTTTTCAATGAAAATAAGAAGTTTTCTTATTGCAAACACCCTATTAATCATGGTAATTCATAAGTCAGTGGTTGAGTGTAACAAAACTAAGATTTCTGAGAAATTTCGAGAGCGACAGGGCAACATTATTTTACATAAATGGCTTTCACAGTGTACAATATTCATTGCTCTGTTAGTCATAATTACTACTTTGCTGGTGCAGAAATACTGAGTCTATGATTTTGACAATTATAATATTGTGAAGATCTGCTGTCCCCCTTTGATTTACTTATCTGTAAAACGAGTTCTGGTGCTAATACCGGTTCAGAGTTGCTAGTGACAGTGGTAGTGATGGTAGCGTTCAATTCGTTTTTGTGATATTAAAATAGTGCTGGTCAATCTGTCCTGTCAGGGATTGACAGATTGCAATTGGCCTGATGTATCCCACTGCTGAGCAAAGGCCTCCCCCTGATCCCTCCACGCACCCCGATCTTGAGCTAACTGGACCCAAGCGTTATTGTAACCTTACATTTTTGGGCTACATCAGCAATTTGAATTTGAGAGCAGTGTCATGTTCCAAATTCGCTCAGTCTGTTTCACACCAAGTATGCTGCGCTCCATTGCTCGTTGACAAACTTCGAGTTTGGACTTTTGGATCTTTGTAAGTGACCAAGTATGCACGTCCTAAGTTAGTATAGGAAGGAGGTTCTTTTTGAGAGAGTACCCCCCATAAGATCTTTCATGGACCAACAGCTCCTCCAGCGTTTTCAGTGTGTTAGCAATTTCTTGCTCTTGCCTGCACTGGATCCTTCCAGTCTCCTGACTATTTGGCCAATGTAAAGGTATTCGCTGACATATTGCATATCCTCTCCATTGATGGCATTCATAAACCAAAATAAATTCAACAAGTGGTATTATTAAGATTAAAACACTAGTACAGCCAATAGAGTACAACATAGGTCTTCAGTGACAAATTATAGCATAATTTTATCTGTTTCATGAGTAGATCTGGTAACATTTCTGATGCTTAAAGTATCTTCTAATGATTCTTTTCCAATAATAACTAACACATAATATCTTTGCTAATACATTTATTTTCCTTACAGATGTCTATGACTCATATACAGGGGAAAAAACTTTACACATCCCAAAGTCGCCAAAAGTTTATGAAAAATCCTCCTATATTAAATGATGAAGTAGGTATGTTATCATTTTGGTTCTTTCAAATTCATGTGGTTATCCAGGAGAAGTGAAGTAATAAATATATAATTAAATTGTTAAGAAGGCACCAATGGTGGTGTGGTGTTTTTAGTCTTTATTTAAAACTATTCCATGAAATCAAATGAAATTCAGTTTTCATAACAAATTGCATGCTAAGAACCATTTTTGTGTTTATTCTTGGATTGCGCCATTGTTTTACACCATTTTTGGTGATTTTTCAAAATGAATGCTCAAATAAATATGATGAGATAAAAATGTTCACAATACCATATTCAAAATTCATAGAAATATTTTATTAAGATTTTGCTGATGACTAAAAACTGTGCTAAGATATAGTGATTTTTTACATGTAAAGTAGGAATGGTGTAACCTACGGGTATAACCAATGCAACTTCTTTTGAAACTAACATCACATGCACTACGTCACTATAAATGTTATTTCATCAAATTTAACTTTATTTAGGAAATAAAACTATTTTTCCGGATTTAAATCCGTGTAACAATCGCGAAAACCTAAGAACTCGATATATCAAACTTCTATACTATTGATTTTTGTTGAACTATTTTTGACCACTAAATTGGCTTCCCTGTATCTTGAACATAACTTTGAGGTTCCTAATTAGTATCAGCATACCTAAACGTTCTTATGTGTTGGTGGTGGTTTGTATGGTGTTGTTACCATTAAAGCTTACAAATAATACTTATTGAGAAACTTAAACAAGTATGTATAAATGTTTAAACTTTCTCTTTTTTTTCTTTAGTTCAACTCAATGAAATTGTGTTTTTAGTTTTTGTAGATCGGACTAGACAAGTTGTATCTCAGCCCTTGTCTAGGACACTCCAGTCGCGGTCGCTCACAGCGCGTCGACAAGTAAACCACAAAAGGTTATTGGAATCTAGGTCTATTGGACCTAGATCTTCAGGTAAATATGTATACTAACATTATCATGGTTTGCTGCAAAAATGCATTGCAGAACTTTCTTCTTTACGAAACGTGATTGTTTAGTTAAATAGTATTTTAATTGTATTAACAAAGTGTCATACTTATCATTCCTGTGCCTATGTTCTATGTGCGAACATGAATGAAATGTTTATAAAAAACGATGCAAAAGCATTCCTTAATAACATTTTATATACACCAACTATCAACCGTTTTTGAACCTAATCTTCGATTATAGGTGACGTACCAAAATTGAAACCTATCCTAAGAACAGTTGAGAATGACCTAGACATCATAGATGATCCCATGGGAGAAGAGTATGTACCTCCTAAACCATCAGCATTGAATCGCAACGCTAATTTACAACTCCGAATTATTGCTCATAATAATGATATTCGTGAAAGCAGAAGCTCAGTTCACAGGTAATGTTAGTCAAGTTTTAATCATATTATACAATTGAAAATATAATGACAGTAAGATTATCCTAGGAATTTTCTTTAAAAGAATGGAATTATTATAAAAAAAACAATGTTTGAACATTGTTATTATGTACAATTCCGAAAAGTAACTTAAACTAAATTAAAATTATTTGCTTGTCTCAGCCATGTTAGAAATTATGTATGTGGTTAGAGATAAATTCAATAGTATTGAATCAACCAGTTATGGTTTTTGTGATACTGTGCTGTATTTGTTAATGGTTATTGAGTAGTGTTCAATATATAAATTTAAAAAAGTACTCTCTATCAGAAAAAGACACGACTGTGTTCTATGTTCGTAACTTCACCACTTTATACATTTTACTATATTATACTCTGTTTGTATTAAGAAAATAGCAGGTAATTGCCATGGGACCACGGTCAGTTTGAATTTCGTTTTCACTGTGATTACAGTTAAAATTCTTAGCGAAAATGGAATATAATATTTAATTCTTTTAAGGCAATCTTCACCAGTGAGACAGAAGAGTCCTCCTAGACCTCCTTCAATCCTGAAGAAGCGACCAATGGCAGCTCTTAGAAATGAAAAGAAAACAGACAAACCATCTTTAGAATACAGAATAATAGTAAGCAATCTGCGAAACACAGTTACAGGAGGGGATATTGAGGTAAATGTTAAACTTGACACAATATATATTTTTGTATTTGTGCACTTTGTATTTATATGATTATTCACATTATGTAAAGCATCTTTTGTAGCGATGGATGTAAAATAACATTAGACAAACAATAACCAATCATTTATAAACACAAGATTCTGTGCTTAACAAGTGCGATAAATTAATTTTGTTTCAATGAATATATAAATCTTCATTAATTGTTTGGTGTTATAATGTATTAATACAATAATTCCGCACAATTAAGATGAATTACGTTCCTGTCTACGTAAAAAAACATTCACAAAAAGAGACTATGAATAGCATTCATAGTCTCTTTTTGTGAATGTTTTTTTTAGAAACATTTTTGATTATTGTAAACATCTAAAAAAGTATATACCACCCGGATCACGCCGCACAGCAGATCGAAAAACCATCACATGCCGCAGCTAAACGTCGATTTTACAATTGGTGCTTACATCTTGTCTGGATCTCGTGCCATTGACTCAATAACGGTCATTGACCCGACATTCATCCCGAAGAAGTCAATTCCACAGTGACTGAATCGCCGCCTATAAATATGTTGCATTTTTGACATATTTGAGTAACATGTGAAATTGAAGCATATCACTGTTAATTTACATATAATTTATCATATTAATTGTCATACTTATCATTTTAATGATATACACACTTAATGAAAATAAACAATATGAATTAGTTTACAATAATATACCACTTCACATTGAAACTAATATTTAAAACTCAGTGTATAATAACTTTAATAACTAATTCAGTTTCTTTAACTCTACAAATTTTAAAATACAATAATATGTATAAATTTTCATAAAAAGGAATTAAGTCCTCTATAAAAGCAAATTTACCCCAGTTGTTTTACCTTGCGTTAAATCTTACTTTCATTCATTTTGTTTTGTATCTATCAAACACTAAGTTGGAGTACGCTTACGTTTGGTCAAGCGTCCGAAATATTCCCATTTCAATTTTGAATTTGAAAAAAATAAAAAATATCTCTTTCATATTAAAAAGTACTATAATTTTTCCCAGGAACTATTTGGCGATGTTGGCGGCATGGTAGAATCACGCCTAGTGCGCCCAGGCACTGCCGAGGTAATATACAAGTCTGTAGAAGACGCACAGAAGGCTGTGGAGCTCTATCACAACAGGCAACTAGATGGACAGCCAATGAACTGCCTGCTAGTCACCCCACGCTCGTCAACAGCAGCTCCTACCGCCAGGTAGATAAAAAAATTACTTGCACTGTCACGGTTTTGTCACAAAATCAATTTTGGTGCTCGACATATTGCGGAAATTTAAAAGCTGTTTCCTTCTACTGACAAAATTAATATTTATGTCAAAAACGCATTAGGCAGCCTCTTACGTTGTAACTTAAATCTCAAAAAACAGGTCGCGCTTCTTCAGGATTGAGATAAAGTTCAAATAAAATTGATAAGTTCATTCCTGTATACAATTTCATTACAAAAGTTAGTTTATATTCCATTCATCGGCCATATAAATTAAGTCGTGAAACTCACAGAATAGGTTAATAGGAAATATGTGTGACTTAAGTAAAGTAGTGATACCCCTAAGGGTATGGTACAACAGTGATAGTATTTATCCTAAACAGGAATTTCAAGAAATTATTATCCTTTTGCATTAGTGTAGTCTATAATTATTGTTTTTCTTTTCAGAAATGGCAGTAAACCAGCCCTGTATAGCACCAACTCAAATGTGGAACCAGACATATCCACCTTCCACAAAGTGCTTTTCAGTAATTTCTAGATCATACGAATTAATCAAGAGCACCTTGTATTGACTATGAAAGGAAGAGTTTTACGAAACTTCGAATTTGTATAAACTGAGCATTGCATTGTTTATGTATATGAGTTATTTTGGATTCGATTAAATATATATAAGTCCGCAATTATCGCAGTAATAACATTAAAATATGTACTTAAGTGTTAACATCATATCACACAAACAGTTTTTGATTAGGTATCGAGGGACAGACATTGCAAAGCGGTTACTGACGTGACGAATTCGATGGTCTAAAAATATACATAAGAATCTGGTGTAATATAAACAGTGTGTACACTGTTAAGTCTGGTTCGCTTAGCTATATAACATAAACAGCCTGTGCACAATTTAAAATTTTAATGCAGGTTTAAAGTAACGTAATTCTGTCCTATACATAATGAAGATTTCGCGGTGTAAGATCCGCATCTGAATGTAATTTGCTCTATTATATTTATGTAGGTGGTATGTCTATCTTTTATTTTGTGTTTAGTTTATGAAAGCTTCGATCAAGTAAGGTCGCTCTACATAGTAAAGAGTTTGTTTTCAGAAATGAATGTAATAAAGTTTTAGTAAATATGTATATTTTATTTTTTTTAATTTTTCCATACCGTCATATAGACCCAGTTTATATCCTTGAACATTTGGAGCGGTGGCACACATACATACAAACACATTTTTCATTGTGTACGATTTTTCTATGTAAATGTACCTATGAATGAAAATAATTGAATATCCAATATATTTTAAACAAAGGAGCCACTAATAGTAAAATTTTGCCATTAGAACCGACTAGTTCACGACTTTTCTGAGTGCAATCAGATCCAAGCTAGGAGCTGTGATTCTCGAGATTCAAAAATGGTGCCGCCGGAGTAAGCTTATTCCAGCGTGGACACTAAAACATCCTTATAACTTCTAACCGGCATTACGACTAAATCTAGGTTTTTAGACTATATAGAATCAACTAAATCACGGGTTTTTAAAGTGTAATCAGATCTAAGTTAGGTGTGGTTCTCAAGATTGAGAAATGGTGCCGTGTGTGGTGTGGTGTGATGGTGAGAATGAGCTTAATCCAGCATGGACAGCAAAACACATAACTTTTGAACGGCGGACCGACTAAATCTAGTTTTTTGCGATTAGAACCGACTAAATGGCGACTTTTTACAGGAATAATCAATTTCAAAAATTCGGTCATGGTCAGGCTGGAATAAAAGACGCAAATTTTTAAATTACAATGAACTTAAATTATAAATTAAGCTATTCCGCGACATAATCTGGCTTAATTTTTCCAAGCATTTTTTCATATTATAATTGATATTTTTCAGCTTTGTATACCTAGAATTCTGTAGCAGATGTTGAGTTCTATCAACTTGAAGAAGTATCGCTAACGGTGGTTCAAAGGATGTAAATTTATATACATTTTTTACGAGACAAAATTAAGGAAAGTAATTGATGGTACAAATCAATGGTACTATAGACACTAAGCCAGTATTTTACCGAGATAGTGTCGGTGCCTTCCAGCAACGCTTGCTTTGAGATATTCCACATATCTAGGTAGGGATTTTGTAACGACTGTGCCGACTTCGCAGGTCATTATAGAATCCCTGCACATTTATTTGGGTTAACCTTTCGGCGCCACGTGTATACCTTGATTATACACCCTAATGTTTTTATCCCCGGCCATTGTGTCATGGCTATACACAGGTAAGGCTTTCCTCTTTATGTATCTCAATGTATTCATAGTTTACAGTGTTTCCCGTTGGTCAGATTGATGGTCAGACTGGTCTGGCCAATGGGATTTTTTTTCCATTGTCCTAATGATTATAAAGTATCGTTGAGTACAAAATAGCGACTTTTGGTTATGTACCTATAGGTTTTATGTGTAATGTGATAGACATCAAAGGCGCAGCAAATATCGAACATTTTATATGAGCGTTCTGGCCCTCACGAATCGTTCAGTGATTTTGGAATATAAATATCTGTGATAGTTTTGAAGTTATAGTCCATTAAAGGAGATATATGTATATATATTATTTCAATCAATTTTTTTTTATTACTTAATTAATTTGCTGAATGAGATCAAATTTAGTTTATAATAAACTTAACTTACAAATTATTATTTTGTTGTACTCATTAATTATTTAGTTTGTGTTTATCATGAAGCAAATACAGTGCTCCATGGTGTTTATTAAATTTAGCTAAGCGTATGAAAAAAAGCTCCCAGGCCAGTGTATCCTGCCTGATACAACTGAAAAAAACTAATAACGGTGAACAGGGGGTATGAACCCCCCGTTCATAATATTAATTCCACACTGTAATAAGTTAATACCAATACAAACTATTTGTAAAAAAATGTGATTCCCATGATTTTTACCTCGAAGACCCTTGGTGCTGAACATGTCAAAAGTTAATAATAGACTCTTGTTTGTTGGTAATTGTTCCCATAATTGCTATGACCTTAACCATTTATTTTTTGACTGTCCATAATTTTCTATACAACGTCTGTTGCTTATTTCATTGACTCAAGATGTCACGAATGTAAAACAAAAAATAATTCATAATTTTCATACTTGGCCTTAGCCAAGGCCCAATAAATAAAAAAATCTGTTTTTTTTTTATTTATTTCATGACTGGATTCAAGTACCGTCGAAATATTGAAGATGTTAGACAGGATAGCAAATAGGTAAAAAATATATATTACTATTTTGTGTAATGCGACATTTTGCGTTAAGTTTGTATATAACTACAACCTGTACAAAAATGTACGAATGAAAAGTATAAAATAAATGACAAGAAACTTTCAAAAATGGTCACACATGAACCAAATGAATCTGAAATGCCATTTGCCATTTCCTTTTCCTTTGTTGCTTGTGCGAGTGCGTGTTGCCGTGTGTGGATTTATTAAATCGTTTTTCTAGTTTTGTGCAATAAACTGAAATGGCTGATCGTGAGTTCATTATTAACTATATATTGAGTTTCATAACAAAATAGGCCATCCGTGAATATATTTGGGTTTACAGCGTACGCATCGGGCGACTACAGCGGCGGTGGCGGTGGCGGCGGTGGCTATACTCAATATTCGATGCCGCCGCCGTCTATGTCCTCTGGTGACAATAACTACGGAGCTGGACAACAAGGCAATTACAGCCAGCCCAGTTACGGAGGCCAAAATCCAGGTCAAGATTGGCAACAAAGCTCAGGTGAGGTTGTTTCCTTGGATAAGTACTTTATAAAGTTTTAATGCCCCGTTTTTTGTGTTACCAAAATTTCACATAACCTAAAATGCAATTGTTCTACAGGAGGAAGTTATGGAAATAATCAATCTGGAAACAATTATGGCCAAAGTTACAATGCCAACTATGGCGGTGGCGGCGGCGGCGGCGGCGGCGGTGGTGGCGGCAGTGGTGGTGGTTATGACCGCAATAATGGTGGAGGATACAATGTGAGTAGCGGCGGCGGCGGCGGCTACGGCAGCGGCGACCGCGGCGGCAGCTACTCGGGTGGAGATCGCGGGGGATACGCCGGAGGTGACCGACCAAGCTACAATAGAGATGGGGGGAATAGAGATGGTGGATATGGGTAAGCATCACATTTTTACCAATTTTTTTTTCCTCGCCTATTGCTACGAGTTGCAAACATGGGTCTTTGTCAATCCCAATAATTGTGTTTGAAGTAAATGCTTCTGTATTTTCAGTACAATTTATTATTTAGTAATATAGTTTTTGATCAGAGTAGAGCTAAGGATTACTTTGTAAATGGTATCTCCCACTGAATAAAATGGTATTTTCTCCAGTTGGGATATAATATGGTGTTTTCATCTGAAACATCGTGGGTGTTGTAATTTATAGTTACAGTAATTAATGGTCTGATGCTGAACAACAATTCATTTTGTGTTATGATGTATTTTTATGTATGCTACTCTAGCCACATTTACTGCAAAAATTATATTTTTTTTCAAATAATTTTTGTAAAATAATAATTTTGCATAATTATTTTAAATAATTAATATTGAGTAATAATGGCACATACATAACCATGACATAGTAGGTATACACAGTTTTAGTTTTGGTCTTTATGGTCCTTATTGGTCTAGACAGAATGACACTCTTCTGTACGAGTTAAGATTTGTGTTGTATGACACCAGTTTACACATCTAAACATACTTGCAACATTACATATGTGCTGTTATTTTATATTTGGATACATAGTATTTTTTGGCTAGAATACTAATATCTGAAATAATGACTTGAAAAAGTGTGTTTTTAAACTATTTGGATACCATCTATTTATGTTTATCATATATTTTTTTGCACCATACATGTTCTCCTTAAAATAATAGTCAATAAAAACATTAAAAGGCTGTGAAAAATATAATTCTCATTACAGTTTTATATATTACACTTAATGGGTGTATCATGCATCAATTAATGAAATTGTCTCCTGTTCCCACTTGTTGTTCACACTTTTTCAAGAACTTGTCTCCTGCTACAGTTGAAACAAATTGTCTCCTGTTTTAAAATCAGTAGCATGCATGTACCAAACATCTGTTGTAATAATAACTGCAAACCAACATGTTCTAAGGTTTTCAAGGTATCAAGGTTTAAACTTATGGTAAAGAAAAGGATTCAACATGGACTAAGGTCACTGGTTAAAGTGTACTGATGTGTCGATCAAACTGCGTGCTGCGTACAGAGTCCCCGGCCCGCCCACTGTACTAAAAGCTGTTCTTATTGTTTTAGTGGCGGCGGCAGGGGGGGTGGTTTTAATAAAGGTAAAGCTCCTCGCGATAAGCGAGCGGTGCTGTTGTCATATTTTTAATTTGTATTTACAATTTAAGGGCTGCCAAAGTTCATCTATGCTACACAGGTTTTACGTAATTCACTACTTGGCTGTTGACAATTTTTAAATATACTAGGTCCCATGATACAATTTCTGGTATAAATTTTAATTAGGTACTTTTAAATCTAACAATATGGTCCTTTGATTATACATTTTATTAATAATTGTAAACGGCGAATGGAATTGGATTAAAATATTTGGAACATGCAAGAAAGTGGAAGATGTCATCATAAGGGGGTTCAATTGGTCGTTATTATACAAGTGTTACAGCAGTGAAGAATTTTTGGATAGAATAATATACATGTTTTTTTAAAAACAAGTGTGAGATTTTGCGCATGGATGTAATGTGCTACATATGTAGGTCCTAGACCATTGCGGTAATTACTACTGTCTTGAAACTACTACAATGGTTTAATAAGGTTGTAGTGTTGGGAGTCGCGAGATGCTGAAGAAATTTGTTATATAACAATTAATTCAGAATTATTTTACATATTTCGTTAATTGACAGTATGGTTGATAGTAAGTCTAAGTTTTAATAAATGCTATTTTATGGTTATTGAGGGAGGATCCACTCTCTTGAGCAGTCAGGTAAAGTCACTTTTATTGAACAAACTAGAAAAGTTAGAAAAATGTCATACTTTCCAGCAGGTTTTGAAGCAATAATTTTATCATTGATAATTATCACAATAATAATTGCAACCATTGACCTACCAACAAATGGACATCGGGTCTAATACAAAAACCACGAAAAAATATCCAAGGTTAACCTATACAAATGTAGTGACATGTAACGAGATATAAAAAACTAAAACATTTAATTTTAATTGTAATGTCATTGCAGTACTGCCTATTAATTTGCTTACAACAATTTAAGGGCCCAAAAACACCATATTCAGCTTCTACTGGAAACTTAACAAAATGCACCATATTTAGCTTCGACTGAAAATTACTTGAACATAAGAGTAATGGAATAGCCTTTCTCGTAAATATTGATTAATTTTTTTATATATATTATTATGTCGAATTTTGTACAAATTCACTTAAAGGTATAATAAAGAGTTGGGCAGATACATACATACAATTATTACTACAAATGTGAAAATAAACGTGTACAATAAATGTACCGATATTCTAACTAAACGTAAACTCAAATATCCATAATTCCGATTTATAACAAAACCGTTACGCTTTCGAGTAATTTTTGCTTTTTACATAGTCAAAATTAGCTTTTGTTTTGTAATCTTCGTAAAAACACATTATGAAAATTCGAGCTAATATTATTTTGGGCAAATGTATTTTCTGACTTCTTTAACTACTACTTTAACTTTAACTTCTTCTTCTTCTTTGTTTAATAAAAAAAATCATTTAAAAATAGGATTAAAATCAAAGCAACTCTATAGTTTCTTTGTTCTAAATGTTTCAATCGCTAGTGGTTCGAACAATTGAAAATGACCAAGAAGTTTATATAAGCTTCTTGAAACTGACGTAATGGGTCTCTTTCTATTTTTTGCGCATGCAATAAGTAGAAAAAGGACAGTTAGCTATTTCATTATTTCGTGTGCTTTTGTGATTTATATTTACGATTCAGTTATATATAAATTAAATACTATAAAACTGTACAAAATAACACGTTTAAATGACAACTATGATAACACAACATATTTGTTTAGTGAAAATATGATACAAAATCCTGTTTTCACACTTTACTGCAGTAATTTTTACAAGTTATTATTTGTACTGCATATATTGGTACTGCATAATTGACAACCGCGCTGTCACTCGAACAAACGAAGACTATTGCGCGATTGACGCTCTGTATGCGATTTTAACGCCCTACAGGTGCGGACACTTTAGCGTGAACCCGACGTCCATTTATTGGTAGGTCAATGATTGTAACTATTTTGCTAAATACACCTTTATAATTTTCTATATAGCGAAATGCTATAATACCACTGTCAACGTCGTGTCATGTGTTACCGAGACATATCCAAATATGTCAAATGTCAATCTCAAAAAAAATCACAAATTATCGTTTTCCCAAACATTTTTCTACATGTTTTTTAGTATTTTCACTGTTTCTTTTTTAATCAAAAATTAAAGAAACAAAGCTAGCATGGATAATCATTGGATATAATATGTATATAATGTAATTATCATGATAATTATCAAAGAAAATAAATATGTTAATAATTTCGAACCTTTGCTTTATGTACATTACTTCTTTCTTTTCAACCTATCACCTGTTAAGGCATACATAGAGTTACAATAAAATAATAGTTAATTTTTGGGCCTGAAATCTGTCATAAATAAACATTCAAAAGTAAGTATTAAGTTTACATAGAAAAATAAACTCAATACCCAGAAAATTTCAGGAAATGCTTGGGAAACACTTTGGCAACCACTGCACCATTTGTCAGGAAATGTCTGGGATTATTTCTCAAATAAAGTGGACACTCGTTACTATTGTTAAGCAATATAAAGAACATCAATGGAATTTAAAATATTATACAAGGGTCTGTCAGCAGCATTACCAAGTGTGAACTTCGTTGTATTGTCAGCGGACATTCGTCATCGTGTAGAATATACAGTGTAACTGATACAGAGTTCTCCTTCAAGTTGATTGTACTCATGATATAAGATTTTTAAGACATAAAAGCAATTTAATCTTTTCTGAGAATGAACTAGTACAGTTCAGTATTAGTTTTTAAAATCATTTATGTCATCATTATGAGTTATTTTCTTAGTTTGTGCAGAAATTAGTGCACGTTTTCTACGTAGTTAAAAACATTTATAATGTGACCATTCTTTATTCAAATTATTCAATACAACAAGCAAACCTCTCAATACAGGATTTTGAAATACATAGTTTGAAGCAGTCATGATTATAAGCTTCTGGATGTACTGACTCTGATAGTACAGGGTCAAGACCACGTCAAGCTTGACACTTATGATTTAAATTCAATTCTACACTGCTTTCGATAAGAAATGTCCAGAGTTCAAAGTGTTAAGTTTAATGTGCGTTTGGTTGTACCAGAAACACTGTATATTGTTTGGCAGCCCTGTGGTTTGAATAAGTGTTATGATTTTTTATGTATTAAGAAATAATGTGGTTGTCACGACGTTGTATAGGTATTTAATTACGTTTCAATAAACTCCGAATGTGTGGTACCTACTACAAATTGCGGGGATTACATAGAGGTATTTTATAGGGATAGTATTATCTGTGGTCAAGTTGAAATTTTAAAGCGTTGGTTATATTAACAGGAAGGAAGGATATTATTTTAATACATTAACGTAAACAGTGATCTGGTATATGACGAGCATGCTGATGTTGTCTAAACTTACAAGGGTTATAGAATAATAAATGTTTTAGTAGGGTTGGTCACAACATAGCTGCTTAATCACGATTTTGAGTCACGTCTAATACTTTAGGATTACGTCTTATTTATTGGTTTGAAAATCGTGTCAGGATATGTTTATGCTCATTTAATTACGGTTATAAGGGTTGCAACGACGCTTATGGTGTAATAAATTAGACAGTTAATTTGCATAACAGGATGAGTTACATACACAATTACATGAAGAGAATTATTTCTCGGGTTGATAAAAAAGAATTATCTATTTGCCATTTACCATATTTATAATGCCAAAATATCTAATAATATCCCTTATTACATTGTACGATATTGTTCTTCTGATGGTTTTCTTTATGTCATGCACATAAGAAACAGATTCTAATAACATTTACTTGAACAATCTTTTTTTTTTATATTAAGAATTTGCTTAAAAGAGTAACAATTAGGTTCTGTCATAAGTAGACAATTTAAGTAATAAATTTCACTATGAGTAAAATAAAATAAAATCATAGGTGGAGGCGGATTTGGCGGAGACCGGGGTGGGGGTGACATGGTGACACAAGAGGATACCGTCTTCATCCAAGGCATGAACCCAGCTACCACTGAGGACGAGCTCTGTGAATATTTTGGCTCCATTGGGCTTATCAAGGTTTGTTGTGATAGTTTCAAATTGTATAGACGAAATTACAAGAAACATATATTGATAATGTTAATTTTTTTTTGCAGACTGATAAGAAAACTCAACGGCCGAAAGTTTGGATGTATAAAGACAAAGCTACCGGTCAGCCTAAGGGCGAAGCAACCGTGACTTACGAAGACTCCAATGCCGCATCTTCAGCCATCCAATGGTTCGATGGAAAAGACTTCAAAGGGTCCACACTCAAAGTGTCTCTCGCCCAAAGGCAAAATACTTGGGGAGGAAATAAAGAAAGGGGTGGTGGCGGTGGTGGATTTCGAGGCGGTCGAGGTGGTGGCGGCGGAGGCGGACGCGGAGGTGGTGGTGGTGACAGAGGAGGCGGCGGCGCGGGCCGAGGAGGGGGCCCACCTTCCGGTAATCGAGCCGGCGACTGGAGATGCCCTAATCCCAGCTGCGGAAATACCAACTTTTCGTGGAGAAAGGCCTGCAACAGATGTAACGAGGCAAAACCGGAGGGCGCCGGAGAAGGCGGCCCGTCTGGTGGTGGCGGCGGCGGGCGTGGCGGAGGTGGACCTCCAGGTCGCGGTGGACGAGGTGGGCCCCGCGGTGGCGGCGGTGGCGGCTGGGGCGGCCGCGGAGGCGGCGGCGGCGATCGTCGCGGTGGTGACCGTGGGGGCGATCGGGGCGGCGACAGGCGCGGCAGTGGTGGCGGCGGCTACGACCGCAGCAACGCGGGCGCTATGAGAGGAGACGGGTAAATATAAAAGAACAACAATCATACATTGTCTTTGAAGTATGGTACTTAATTATAATTCTTAAATCGAATTTGTTTGTTGCAGGGGTAGAGACCGACAAAGACCGTATTAAATAATTGTACATATTTATGTTTCCCATGATAGATTTTGTCTTATTTCTCTTTTGACTGATTTAAACAAACATAATCATTTTATAGTCATGAACTTCTAGGCCACATCTTTACATCATATAGTAACTTCTAAATATAAGTATTGACATTTTTGTAAAACTGAAATATATAATATAAGTTGTTGTATGTGCTTAGGTTACTTATCTACTCGTATAGCTGACCTGCATAACCCAACATTTATGTCATTAAATTTTTAAAAACAATATCAGTGAAATAAATAATTTATATACATTTGTGTTACGAAACGAAATAGATACCTAGAAATTGAAGCATCTGTAGGTATTTACATTATTATAGGTTTAAGGCGTATGTTATAAATTCTTAACAATTTCCAATAGTGTTAAATCATAAATGCTTTAGAAATAATTATCTAGTTCATGTCTTGGACTCGATAACACCAAATAATGTACTGGTTATTGTCTGAGCGCACGGTATTTTTAAGTTTTGAGTCTAAACTTTTGATAAATGTTCAATTAGCTAACTTGTAAGAATGGAATCCATAATAAAATGTAAGATGGACAATCGAATTTTTATTTTAACTTTTTTGTTTGTTAATCAATTTATTGACTCCACCGCTCTGACTTGACTCTACTTGGGCAGCTATTTTATTTATAATAAATCTAATAGGATGTACGTAGACAGAAACGCATTTAATTTTAATTGTACGGAAACATTGCATTGAAAGACAGTGGTAAATACACATAACAAAGAAGCTGATATTTTTGTCAAATAAATTGATTTTAGGTCAAATGGCTTATTCCCAGTTGTCACCACTGGCTTTGTTCCCACTGGCGACAAATGGGGGGAAAAAGTCCCATATGTTACCAGGTGGCGACAAACAGGATAAAAAAAATCAGTTGTTGCCAGTGGTGATTTCTACTGGTCGACAAATGGAAAAAAAAAACAATTTAAATTTGAAGAAAATATTCCATGAATGACTTTTGAAGTCGGGTTTTTTTATTACTCTGTGCTGAGATTATTCATCACATTTATACGTAAATAGTATGATTGCATGCAGGCCAACTTAACTAAACCAAATGCCCCAAATAAAACCCTCGGGCCTTTTTTCTTATTACACGACAATGGCTGTAATAGGAAGGAAAATGCCCGGACGGTTTTATTTGGGGTCAAGTTAGTCTGCATGCAATCATACTATTTACTCGCAAATGTGATGAAAGACATTGTGTATTTCATGGGCATATTGATGAGTTTTGGTACCTATAGAAAAGCTAGGAGAAGGACAGAGGCTACTTTCGTCGTAAAAATAAACCTTAGTGGGGTGGAATAGGGGATGAAAGTTTGTATGGAGAACCAATAAAATTATGAAAATGAGTATAATATCAAACCGAAAATCAAATAATGAAAAAAAAAACACATTATTCAAAATGTATCACGTATTTTAATCACAAATTATTGCTTTAATACTTAAAATCAATCAGTGGCAGATTGTGATGAATGAAATTATTTTTTTCAGCATTCATTGGTAACAAACGATTACGCTTTTCTCATAAACATTTCCTGCTTCTGAAAATAGCCTCTCACTATAAACACTAATGACGTAGACGATAGACAAATCTTAGCAAATTTTGACAGGCTTGGATACTGCTTTGCATTTGCTGACCACCACTTGTAAGGATCTGCCGTCCGATCTAGGCGAACAGTTTTCAAATAAAAATCAATCTCATGTGCAATATAACTTTTATTATTTGTAGCGACTTCTTCAAAACAGGTCCAGACACTGTCATGTATTGATTCTATCGTTTTATCATTTTTCAATAAAATCACCCCACTCCCATTACTTGCGCATGCAGCGCAATGAGACAGGTCGTAACAGGTTGCGCGTGAAATGCATAGATCTTACGCCGAATATTCGCCCGAGAGCGTCCAAATCACTCCGTGGCATCTCTAGTATTTATTGTATGCTAACTAGTAAGTAAGTAAGTAAATTATTTATTTTCCTCTACAAAATTCTGCACTAAACTTACATTGAGTGAACACAATAATTAAATACAGAAGACAATTCGTAGAGGCTGGAGCCCAAACTAGGTTTCCCTGTGATTTAGGTCACCAGGCCTCCACCTCCAGAAAAAAAAAAAAAAAAAAGATTAAATGCTTAAAATGAATAAATTTATGCAAAGGTTTTAGAAAGAGAAAAAAGAGAAAAATTATAATAATAACATACTCTAAAAATAACACTTTTTAGCCAAAAACGTATTGACAATTCAGTATATAAAAGTAAGTAGCTGGATGTGATTGTAACATGTGTGAGTGTGAGTGAGCGAGCGAGTGTGTGTGTGTGTGTGTGTGTGAGTTTGCGTGTGTGTGCGCGTGTGTGTGTGTTTGCGTGTGTGTGTGTATGTATGCATGAGCGTGTGTGCATGCGCATATAAAACTTTAGTAATTGCACAAATGAATGAGGGAGTGAACAGTTTGGAGAATTAACAAATAGAACTGTTTTTAGAATAGAATTATACAACTACAGCGATCAATTTCTCAGTATCCTCATAATTATGTTTCAATAGCCAGTCAACTACGGTCCTTTTGCAACTGTACGTGTTTAACGAATATATTTTATTTACTGAGTTGCATTTGTTGTAAAGGTTTGAACCAAGAAAATCGAAAAATCTTTGGGCAAAAGTTGTTTTACATAGCTTACTGGGACAAACTAGGTCAAATCTTCTTATTCTCTGGGAGAAGGTTGGATCAAACGTCAAAAGGGAGTGTTTTTTCAGAATGGTATTCGCGATATATAACTGGCGAACTGTTAGTACTTTGCATTCACTGTAGAGTTTCGAAGTTGAGAACAAGAATGGACGAAAAGTAGAGACCTTTAAAATTGTTCGTTGTGCCACCTCAAGCTTTTTTAAAATGGTTTTATGGGCTCCCCCCCAAATAGTAATGCAATAAGTCAAAATAGACTGACACAGAGCACAATATACCATTCTCAATATCTCCTGATCCGCAATATGACGAATAGTTTTAAAAAAGAATATTAATTTTCTGGTACGAGCTGACAGTAGCACAATATGTGATTTAAAGTTAAGATTTTGATCGATATTTATACCTAGGTACTTTATGGATGATACATTTTGCAGATTAGGACAGGAGCAGTTTACAATAGAGTTGAATTGACACGTGTGAGCTGTTAAGTTGAAATTAAGTTGATTAGTAGAGGTGTTAGCAATGGAAAATATTATGTATTTGGTTTTATCTGTATTAATGGTTAAAAGATTTTGGCCTAGCCAGCATAAAACCGAATTAACTCCATCCTGTGCGTTACGAAAAAGTTCTTGTAAGGAATCAGCTTGAAAAACTAGGGCAGTATCATCTGCAAAAGAAACTACTTTACCTTTGTTAAGCTGAATACTGCAAAGGTCATTGATAAATATCAGGAAGAGGGTAGGACCAAGAATACTTCCCTGTGGAACTCCATAGCGAACAGGAAGATCATCACTAAGGAAATTATCGATCTTAACTTGTTGACTGCGGCCTGTTAAATAACTTCGGAACAGGTTAAGAGACTCTCTAACTAAGTCGCGGGCACCTGCTAAGTGTAAATGATTTTAACAATGTTATAGGCATTGTAGTGCCCTTTTGGGGCTCTGTGCTAGAAATCTTTTATTATATATTTTAACACCTTTGTCAATCCACGTGATTAATTATGAAGTCTTAAATTATCTTTACAACCTATAGGTACAACTAAAATAATGTGACAACCCTATGCTCCAAGAGACGTAGGCACTGACGCACCGAACAGGCGGGAGTTATCTAATAATACGAGTAGGTCCCAAGTAGTTCAGTGCATGGGATCGTCACACTATGGGACGAAGGGAGTAAAAGCCCGGTCATTAATAATAAATTTTAGTCTAAATTTGAACTTAAAGCTGAATTAATGAACAATGATGTTCTGCATTCAAACTGCATTTAAAAAACCGCGTTTGCGTACCGTGCCATTTTAAAACCGTGTGACTCGACGCAACGGGCTCGACGGCAAGACCAGGGTACTGCGGGCGTCCGGGTCAAGCCCTTCGCCAGTGATACGCTTTAGTGGCGTCTCTAGCGGACCCGGACTTGGGTATGGACTCGCTGAGCTTTGTGGTTACCTGCAGAGACGTCTGCCCCGGTTGCATGTGTCCGGGGCGTCTGTCTCGTGAGCATCTAGCGCGTCTTAGTAGCGGTCTAGTTGAGGTCCTGTATGCGCGAAGCACGCGAGTTGCTCTTTAAGTGGAAGCTATATCTGGACTAGCCCGAAGAGCTAGTAGAGGATAAGCTAGATATCCTCCGGTCCCTCCAGCCGCTTAGATTATTAGGAACTGGAGAGACGTCGTTTTTCGGCGTCAGGAAGTGAGCGTGCCTTACAGCTCCGCCACCAATGAGATTTGGTAGTGGACTCAGACGACGGCTTAGCGGTGGCAACTGCTAGTTGTGCAATGCGCAACGGGAAGTGAGCGTGCCTACAACTCCGGTACCTATCTGGAAAATAGGGATGGTACTGTACGTGCACCCGGGGCGGCTCACCCGAGGCACTAGCCTCTCGAAGAACCGGATGAAGTCAAGTGACAGAGGTCTGTGAGAACCCTATACACTGGCTGATCTGGGGTCAGAACCTGAACTTGTAAGGTTCCTGTGCGCGCACAGGTTATAGTTTCCTTCTCGTATGCCCTAAGAGTAGGTAGGGAGGGTCACTATAATCAAAACTAACGTAGAAAAATAGGGTGCTTGTCCCGGTTTGAAGTAACGCCTCACTCTGGAAAGGATACCAAGCTTTCTTGCTGCATCTTTGGTCATGGATACAACGTATCTGCCGAAGTACAAATTCCAAGTAGCTGGAAACAGTCGGCTATCGGTACGGATATATCACGAAAAGTCGGAATCAGCTCAAAAGAACTCCGTTTTATGGAGAATAGACACGCCTGCGTTTGGTAGCGTTAAATTTGACAAGATTGGCATCGCCCCAATCGGAGACTGCCTTGAGTGTCAAATCCAAACGGCTAACCATAGACTCTCGACAAGACTGGATTTCCTCTCCACTGACCCATGCATTGGTCAAGTACCTATCTACGACTGTGTTGTCATCAGCATACGCAAAGGTACCTGGAATTAACATATCATTGATATGCAATAGAAAGAGAGTTGCAGACAGTACGGAACCCTGAGGAATCTATCGCCATATGTTTGGAAGAGCAGCCGTAAACGTAACGTAAAGTAGCCGTAACGTATGTAATTGAACGTTCGCTCAAGAAATCCGAGATCCAATTGCAACATGGGAAGCCTATAAAAGGGAAGCTTACTTAAAAGGTTTGCTTGCCAGACCCGTCAAAGGCTTTCGAAATATCCGAAGACACTGCAAGTGCATCACCTTGCTTTTCTATAGCCTCGCTCCATATGTGACAGGCATACACAAGATCCCCAGTTGATCGTCTTCTTCGGAATCCGTACTGTCAATCACTGAGGAGGTCGTTGTCTTTAAGGTACAACAAGAGACGGTTGTTGAGTACACGTTCCATAGTCTT